TGTCCAGAAGATCAGGTGGTCGTCTACCAGTGGCAATTTCCAAAGGTGAATAACCACTAACAGTGAGTTGAGTATTTCTGGCCCAAAACAGTACGCTTCACAGCTTCTCTGATTGTCACTCCTTTGAACCTATCATCTTCCAGGTTCTTTGACATGATTTGCCGTTGTCGTTTGAAAAGTCTGACAGCTGATTCAGGTCTGTTTGGCCATGGTGTTCTGGAACCACAAGGACATTCCTCAATACCATGAGTTCGGTAATAAGTCAGAAAGTCTTCTTGGAAAAAGGCTTCATCGCCAACAACGGCTTGAGGCATACAGTCATACAGTTGTTTTCATCACTCCGCAACCTCAGAGCTTGCGTAGCCTCTTTGTTGTTCAGTGAGGATTATGCCGTAGCCCAAAATAACTTTGATGCACCATCAAGAACAAGCAACACCACGTACTTGCTCTTCCCCAACTGGATTTCAGCATGGTCAACAAAGATAGCATCTCCAAAGTTGGTGGCTCTAATGCCTGAAACCCTGGCTCTTGGCGGTGCTGCAACGGAAGTACTACACACACACACGACACTTGTTGTACATGTCTTCATACTTTTCATAAACAGAGTCAGGAAGTCCCAACATGGAAGTCCTTCGTCTGAATTGAGTAGGAGGCATATGATAGTGTTTGACATGAAGTTTGTACAGTTCCACACTATTCTCCAGTTTCCTGAGCATCTTTCTGTATGCTGGTGTCATGGCTTGCACTTCACTACCAGGCAGTGGAACAGAAACCCGCCTAGGCTCAAGAGCTTCACTACCTAGTTTCTCGAGTTGACTTTCTGAATCTTGCTTACCACGAACACGCGCAGGTGCAGAAGATTTGGATTCAATGACCTGAGGTTCATCTGAGTCATCTTTTTCTAATCCTAACTCCCTAGCTATTTTGTCAAGTTCATCTTCCTCATCAAGCTTGGGATAGGAAACAACAACCTTCTTTCTGGATGAACCTCCTTGAGAGCCATCAGCAATCTTTGGTTTCTGCTTACCTACGTGTCTCTTCGCTGCTGGAGGACCTACCTCAATCTTTTCCAAGCTTGGTCCTCTCAAAATCGGTTTGCCTGCCTCTTTCTGTAAAGAGCTTGGCTTTTTCTGTACACCTGATGGCGCTGAAGAGGCTGACTCAGGGTGAAACAAATCATCTATGTTTCCACGAAAAAACTTGGCTCGATCAAGGTCACTCCTGATGACGTCATCAGGGATCATGTAGTCCTCCTTGATCTTGTAGATCGTTTTGCCCTTCCAGTACTCTTCACTCTGTTCAGAAAACCTCTTCTTCTCGGCAAGCCAGTTGTCCTTGTGTAGAACCTTCTTCTTGCTCTTCTGGTACTCAATGTGAGTCTCTCTCATCAAGAAGTTGATCTTTTTGGAATTGGAGTCTTGTCTGATCGATTCATCTCATGTACAGTAAGTTCATTCTCTTGTCCTTGTGATGCCTGATGAGTTCACGACGCGGTCCATCGACTTGCCAGTAGTCACCAGTCACCAAGCTTCTTCTTCTTGAACATCTTGTTTCACACCAATCTGGCTGTACTCAAAGTGATCGTGTTGTGAGAAGAAACTCTTGACCCTTGACTTGTGGAGTCTTGAAATGAACTTGGCCCATGTACCATGCAATATCTTGTAAATCGAGGATGAGATGAGTACCCATGGCTGTTTTCAAGACCATTTTTCTCATGCCAATACGTGCACAGGACAAATAAGCTTTCTCTGGAGTAAGTTCAAAATTGGAACCCAAGGTTTCTCATCTGTGGAGATGACATCAACAATGGGACATCACCTTCTTCGACAATGTCGAACTCTGTGAACTGAGTGCTCCATCCATTGTCATACATGAATATCACAAGCTTCTCAGTACACTTGGATTGTGGTGAAATTGCAAAGAAAAATCTTGAACTTGTGGGCTGAATTTCATACCAGAGACCACTGTTGGGATGTGAACCAACATATCTGCAAAATGCTTCAACTGCTCGTCGGGAGCCCATAGCTCTTGTGCATCCAAGATCTAGGATACAGACAGTTGGTGGTGCAGAATTCTCTGTGTGAAAAGCTAACCCATTCTCACATGCCAGTTCAGGTTGCCTGATATGAAATGAAAAAGCACTCGGCTGCTCATCTGATTCCTCTGTCTCTACAGGGCCTTCAGGATGAGATGGTATCTCTGCCTCTACAGGGTATCCATATGAAAACAATGCCGTGCCTTTTGCCAACGGCTTCCATGAAGCCTCACCTTCTTGTAAACCATCTTGTCTGGGCACAGGAGCTGGACGTCGTTGTACACCTTGTCGAAGTGCATCAAGATCTCCAACTAACACAGGGAACCTTTTGAGTTCTCTCCTGTTGAACTGTGCTGTTGCATCACAATGGTTTTGTCCTCCTCGACGAGTGCGTCGATGTACTTCTTGTTCTGCATAGGTGGCTGCTAAGGCATCCGCACGTGCTGGTTCAGTCTCTGCAACTGCAAAGAAACCATGACCAGAGCTTGATGCTGCAGAAGAATAATGAGCTTGTTGCTGCTGTTGGTTCTGTATGGCAGGAGTCGATGTGGTCTGAGGTTGAACATAGTTGGACTTACATTTGCCATCTCCTGGTTTTCCTCCTTTGCCATCATCATCCTTGCCTTTCTTGCCTTTCTTTCCTTTTCCTTTTCCTTTTCCTTTTCCTTTCTTCTGCAAGTATCCATACTCATCGAGGTAGTACAGATCATCATAGGCCCAATGGCCTTCATTCCAGTTTTGATCATCGGCCCAAAAGCCTTCATGAGAATCATTCCATTCATCTTCATTCCATTCCTCATCATATCCTTCTTCACTCACCATGTGAGAGCGGCCTTTCCTTCTTCCTTTTCCTCGGCCTTTTCCTTCCTTGATCTGAAGAACCTTCGTCCTCCTCTGCCTTTTCCTTTTCTCTTTCCTTTACCTTTGCCTCGTCTGGTCTATCTGCCTTGGAACCTTCTCTGATACCATGTGTAGTCAGCGTCACCATACACCCAGAAAACATCTTCTAAAGCATCCAGGAATCCTTCTGCGCCGTCTTCATCATCTTCGGCCCAATAGCCGTAGGTTCCTTCTAACTTCCAAATCACCTTCATCCAGAACGAAAAAAGATCTTCTCTGTCCAATGCCAGAGGGTTGCATCATAGGATTGTCTACTGCCGTCTTTGTAGTGCAAAACATTTCCAGGAATAAATCTCTGAGTTCTTGCACATTGTACTGATCGAGTGTGCGGCCATGATGTATCATGATACTTGCAAGCGTGTTTCTCTGATCTTGAGTCAGCCCTGCTAGACTTACAAAAATCAATGCTAGCAAGGTTTCACCCAAAGGAAATGCCTGTCTCTGCTGTTGTCGTCGGTTCTCATTGAGTTGTCTAAATGCCATTAGTGCAAGTTCATCTGACCAGGGAATAATGACATGAGGATCTGCGCCTGGTGTAGCTGCTGCAACTTGTGCTCGTTCATTTTGATCTCGTTCATGATCTTGTCGTTGTTGTTGAACATACAGGATTGCTTCTGGGCTATATAGTCATCAACAGGTCTGGTATCAAATCCATCCAAGACTCAATAAGTCTGTTTCCAGTCAGTTGAAATCTAGTCATCCATTTCTGAAGATCCATAGTTCCTCTGTTGTACTTCATGAATTGCATAAAACGATATAAGAACACGTTTTGGGCACCTTTGATGAAATGAGGTCGTAGAAACCTTTTGAAGTAGTTGACTCCATCATTAGCATTTCTCTGTCTAATAACCTCTTGTATTGCTGAGCCTCTCCTTCCAGTCGATTTCGCAAAGCTGGTCCACGTTTTTCAGGTTCTAGCTCCGTGATGTCACACCAGTCATCAGTGGCATCTTCAAATGCAAAGAAGCTGGTTCTCGCATCATATGCAGGGGCTACCTTCGTGGTCATCTGCTGCGTCATATGGATTGAGGGCTGCTGAGGTGCTCTTCCCGTTGCATAGGAGTCATATTGATTCCATCCATCTGCATCGACAATGTCGAAGTCATCATCATCATAGCTATGGCGAGACATTTTTGGGCTCTACCTGGAGCTCACCTTCAATGAAGGATCACAGCTCCGCTACCACTTGAAGAGGGGCACTAGCATCTAGTATAGATCAGCTAGAGCGTCTTCCCAAGACAGCTTCACACCCTTTTACTCACGGCGTATTGCCAGTCGGTGCGGTGTCACAGGGTTTGTCTATATCTCTCTCTTTTGAGCCTTGAAGGGCGCATATAAATGTGCTCAATACTCATGCAGTACCCACGTAGGATTCAAGTCAAAACAAAAACAAGGGCGCAGCGCCTCCCCCCCAAGGAACACAGAGACAACTTCGTTCTAGTTGTGTTCCTCTTTTGCCGTTGTAGTTGTTCTTGTTTCTTTTGTTGTTCATGTTGCTGTTTTTGCTTTTGTTACTTTTGTTGTTCTTGTTGTTCCTTTTGTATTTGCTGCTTTTGTTGTTTGTGCTGCTGGTGCTGTTCTTCATGTAGTTGTAGCTACACTTGCAATCAAGCAGAACAAAAAGGAAGCAAGCAGAGCAGAAAACATACGAAGCAAAAAACAAACACAGAGAAACAAAAACATAAGCAAAAAAACAGAGAAGCAACAAAAAACAAAGAATTGTAGAGGGAAAAAAAGCAAAACGGAGAAGCAACGAACAAAAAACAGAACAGCAAAAAAAAAGAAAAGCAGAGAAGAAAAAACAACAGAGAAACGTAGAAGCAAAACAGCAGAAACGCAGAGAAGCAAAAACGCAAACAATCAGAAAAGCAAAAAAGCAGAAAGCAAAAGAGCAGAGAAGCAAAGAAGCAGAGAAGCAAAAAAGCAGCACAGTAGAGAGGAAGGAGGAAGGAGGAATCCCAAAACAATTCCCTAAACCAAAAAAAAAAGGCCTAAATAAATGGCCCTCCATTTACAGAATCATACGCAATCTAGGCCATGTCACAGCATTCATCAGCGGCCGCGCCTTGAAAGACAGGAAGTCTGCCCACGAGTTCAGGAGCTCGATGACCTTTTTGGCATCGCCACGCTCGGCAGCACCTGGTGAAAGTTTGGCACCAAAATCCACGTCGTCGCGCTGAGTCCAGGTGATTTTGGCCAGTTATGGGCAAAACTGGGCAAAAACATATGGTAAAACATGATTTAAACGTGGTTTGTACATGTTTAAACATATCTAAAACATCTATAGAAAATTGATAAACATGGTTGAATTGTGTGAATTTCCCTGCAAATCCCCTGTAATGATTGAAATCCATCCAAATCCAGCAGGATCCCATAGTGCGTGCCAACTTTTTTCATTTATCCCATGATGATCCCTCTGTCTTCGGTCAGCCCTGTGCAGCCTGATTGAATGAAGTCATTGAGCTCGGGGAGAAACGTGTCCATGCCTCAAGTGAAATAGTCGACTCTCACCGTGGACAATGATATCTCTGAACTTGCTGGCAACGGTGCAGCCTGAACAGATTACAATATATGATTACGATATGACTCTAGCATCACATCCAAAAGCACAAATCATAAAGCACACAGATCCGGGCTAAAACCTGGAATCACTTGTGCCATGCGGCCCTGTGCAAACGAACGCTTGCAACAGCTGAACTGGGTGAGAGATGGACATGGCTGCATGTTGGAAAGTACATGTGGCACTCAGAAAACATGGTCGCCTCGATCCACATCTCGATCAATTGCATGTATTGATCTTGGCCATGCGGATTTGAATGACAACTAAGAACTACTTGGCAATTAACAAACAAGAGCACTATGACCTACCTCCCCACCACATCCCAACACTTCACTTAGAGCACCGGAAAGTGGATCACTTAGAGCACAGGATCACTTAGAGCACCATGGGATCACTTAGAGCACCAAAAAATGGATCACTTAGAGCCAGAAAATGACACCTTTTAGGCGTTTAATATCACTTTGATGTCTAGAACGCCTGCAGAGACATAAGAATGGTCTTCTGACCAGAACCTTCAATAATTAATTCCAAACGACTTCAGCATGTCAATTCGATGGTTCGCCTCCTTGTACTCACAAAACTATCAGACATGGGGGAAAAATCCGTCCCATTCATGCCTCCCGCGATTCCACACCAGCCCTGGATTGCCATGCTGACATGCATGCTCTATGTACGTATGTCTGTGTATGCGTCCCTGTGTATATGTGCATGCATGGCACAATGCTTGCATGCATCCATAACCATCCATGCATGTATTTCTGTCTGTCTGTCTGTCTGTATCTTTTAAACCACCCTTTTCTGCAAGCTATATATATACATATATATATATATGTGTGTGCGTGCATGTCTCTATGTATGCAGGTAGGTATGTAGGTATGTAAGTGTGTAGGAATGTAGGTGTGTAATGTAATGGTATGTAGTGTACTGCAATGTCCTGTAATGTAATGTTATGTATTGTAATGGTATGTTATTTGATGTAATGCAAGTTCTGTACTGTATTGTAAAGTGATGTAATGTAACGTTATGTAATGTAATGGTGTGTGATGTAGTGTCATGTAATGTAATGCAATGTAACGTAATTAATGGGAAATTATGGTAAGTTCTGTTATTTAGAGGGTCGGAAAGCAGAAGCACTTCGAGCGCCAGAAGGCGGATCGCGTGGAATTCATGTCTGCGTGCATCTGCCCATGTCACTACCTGCGTGCTTCAGTGCTTTTCGTGTAGGCACGTATGAATGCATCCATTTATGTGTCTATGCCTCTGTGCATATATGTGTATATATATAAATATGTATGTATATGTATTACATTGTATTACATATAATGTTGCCCAGCCAATAGTGATCTCTTGTCAATAGTAGAAACATTTTTCCGCAACTCCAATTTTTCCCCAATACTAAAAGTCAATTAGCTCTATTTACTTTTAGTATTGCCAAAGAGCCATGTTCAGACCTTGTCCAGAGGGCATGGCCAATAGTGGACCCAACATGGCAATAGTGGAAACTTTTTTCCCAACTCCAATTTTTCTCCAATACTAAAAGTCAATTAGCTCCATTTACTTTTAGTATTGCCAAAAGAGTCAAGTAAAGCAAATCCTTTTCAAAGCAGCCTTCACTTTTGATTAGCAAAAGCTTAGATTCCAGAAATCAGATCCAATTACCAAACAGCTGATTTCCTTATAAAACCCTTATTAAAAAAAGCAAGAAAACAGGTCCAGAAAGGGTACCCCCTTTGCAAGCCCCAGAATAGCAATAACAAACCTGCACCAGGCATGGCAATAGTGGAAACTTTTTTCCGCAACTCCAATTTTGTTGTCCTCCTTCTCCTTCTCCTTCTTCTCCTTCTTCTCCTCCTCCTCCTCGTCCTCCTCCTTCGCCTCCATCCCAGCCATAAGGTTCCAAGACTTTACTATTGGAATGCTGACCCCCCCCTGGATTTTCCTCCAAAATTATTTTATTAAGGGGGGGGTTTACTATTATGCAGCTAACATTATATATATATATATATAACTCTAGCGCTATGTATCTCTTATGTCTCTGTGGGTGTCACTTTTCCGGGTTCCAAGCGGTCCACTTTCCGGCGCTCTAAGCAATCCACTTTCCGGCGCTCCAAGCGAACCCCCGACCCCAACACTGCCCCCTTGGCAGCCCAAGGTATACTGGCTGTCACTTGCGAAGTGGTCAGCTTCCGGCTGTGAATTGTGGTATAGTACAATTTGTTCTCCTCCTGGCATTGTCTCCATGACTGGTTGAAACACCTGTTCCAATCTGTTACACTCTTGCTGTCGTCGCCACCAAAATGCGCAAAATGCCACATGATGCGACATGTGTCACCAGCAAATGACCCATGGGATCCCATGGGTTTATTATGGTTTATTCTCACGTCTCTGTTTTGCCATTTGCCCGGTAGAGGATTGCTGTGCCGCTTCGCGGCTAGCAATAAGGTGCCCTCTTCAAACACACTGCAATGTACAATGGGCACGTCGAGTCCCCCTGGCTGTGGCCTTGGAGGGCACTTTTTGTAACCCTGCTTGGCAGGAGCAGCACTTTGGACATATTTCCCCTCCCCAAAACCATCATGGCATGCCATGGCTGCCATGGCTGAGGCTGCTGAACTTAAACTTGCTATCGGTACCCTGAACTTTTCAGCTGAACCTCACATGGGACGCCGAAATCCAATCTTTTAACACGCAGTTTAACTCAGGGTAATCCAAACTGTGGGGGTTTGGATGTCATGGTATCCACACACAGCTGACCCTAATGGGATGCGAACGGGCACTACACCCTACTATTTCGTGTAAAATCCGGTGTCTCCCGGAAAAAACCATGATGGTCTTGCTCGGCCAACTCACTACAACACACCTTCCAAGAGATCAAATTATGCCTCCCAAGGTTCCGAAAATGTCACCTGGACCTACTGTCACCTCTGCAAATGTGGTGGCAAATGCTGGAAGCTAACTGCAAAAGAGAATTTCATCATCTTCCATCTATTTCATTAGATCTCTCTGGAAGTGTCTTAATCACTGTACAGTAGCACCACTGCCATCACTGTTTGCTGGATTGACCCGATCCTGTGATCACTGGCTCCCAACCTCGCAAGTTTGCTATCAATTCAGCTGGAAATCTACATTCAAATTCATTCAACTCAGTAGCTATTCAGCAAGCTACACAATGCTAATACTGCTACTATTTCTGGCTTCCAAATACTAAATGATCATAAATGATCACATATTTCTAGGCTCTAGACGTCAATAGATGTCATATCACCAGCCCAACTCGGCTTCAGACCGGCATCATTCTGCACCGAATGCCATGCTGTATTGCGAGGTTCCCGCTGTTTGGAAGGAGATCGGGACGGGGACGGTGAATTCCCGGCCAAGGGCGGCACAGCCCGGGGTCGGAAACGTGCCTGCAGCAGGGGATCGTCGCGATCCTCCTCCTCCGGTCGAGTGATGTGCGGTCGAGGCGATCGTGGTCCAGTCTTGGGGTGCAAAGGTGCACGAGGCAAGGCTGCCTGATGTCTTGACTTCGTCTAAGATGGGGTGTGATTTGTCAACTGGACAATTTATATATAATACAATTTTTAGTGTTATGAATTCATGGTGATTTCACGGTATATCACGGTATATTGCACTGTGGGGTAGTACAAGATATAATCAAGATATACGAGTATAATATCAACTGTAATATTGACATAATCGAATCGAACAGATCTGACCCAAAGACTCAATGAGAAGCACCTGTTTTCGGATCAGTGCAAACTTGCGACATGATTACCATCAAATGCCGTCATTTTTAGTTATACACATTATCATAATCATTATATATTATACTATAATACTATTGATTGATTATATGGGTGTTGATCAAAATAAAGGTATCTGGGGCAGCTACAATCGCCGATCAACCACGAATCAACTGCGATCCCAACGGTGTCAATCGCGGGAGGGTTCTGTCGTATGCAATATTATTTTGCGCAGAGAATCGTCAAAACATTGCTACATATCACAGATATTCTCAGATTATCACAGTATCTAAAGACATGGCGTGAGCCAGGGCCTACCCAGGCAGGTTTAGCAATCGCGGGGCAATCGCGGATCAACCGCGAACCAATCGCGGATTTCATCGACATGTTTTGAAAATTGATTTGATCTGGGTTGTTAGACTTTGAACTTGTTGTTCTATGTTGTTCTGATTCTTCTTTGCTATTAGCTATCACATCTATCACTATTGAACACAGTGTCAAGGCAGACCCAAATATCCCAAATACAGTATAAGGCTGAAATGTCACATAATTATCATGCCATTAAAATATAATTGTTGATTTCTCCTCTTACAATCGTCGATTCTTCTACAACAAATATGTGTCTATCGCGAACCAATCGCCGATCAATCGCAACGCAGGGTTTTACAATCGCGAATGCTGAAATACACATGCCCTTTCATAATTCTTGGACTTGCATTTGCGATCGGCTCCCACATGGACAAGTGCTAAGCACAATCAACAAAATCAAATACACATGCACACTTACCCTATGATACAACATGACACAAACACCTTGCTGAACATGGTCCAAATTGCAAGGTCATCAACCTCAGGAGCTTCCAACCGCGGCGAAGGATTTGAAGCCGAAGGCGAGACCGATCGAATGATTAGCGACGCCGTGGGAGAAGGCGGTGGCAAAGTGGATGGAGCGTTGGATGGCCGTCGGTCAGACAAACACCACGACCGCGTCACGACATCCGGAGCCGACGCCCGTCGCTTCGAGATGTTCACAGGGAAGGACAGGTCTGATGTTGGTAGGAGCGTCTTAGAAGGCCCTCGATGCTGATCCACCCTTTCGTGGCTTGGCGACGGCGAAGGTGATGGAGTCTTCGATGTGTCAAACTGAACATTCTGAGCTTCTTCCACCTGGGTTCGGAAAGCACTTCCTGGCCTGCTTGGCTGAGCTTGCTTCTCCGGCTCTGGTGAAGCACCAGGATCATGTTTTGAGTGGGTGTCCAACACATAGACAGGTGGTGTGGAAATTGCTGCTTTGATCCTTTCGCGACGCTCTGACTGCAGAAACCGCCGCCTCTGTCGATCCAAACTGTCATTCCAGAGTCTGCCGAAAACACCTTAGCAGATCTTAGCAGTTCGATTCCTTTCATCTTGGTGTTGAATGCAGTTTTTCAAAATCAACTGATTGCTGCAGTTCGCTTGTTTATTCATGTTTATTCACTGTTTCCTCTTCTCATGCTGTCCCCTCTGTCTCTGCTGAGGTAAAACCCACTAACTTCACTAAACAGGGCAGAATGCCCCAGTTTGCTTACTTTTTGCAAGCCTTAGTCGCTGACACAAAAAGGTTCCATCCGCTGGACGGGTTGTCAAATCTATCGCCACATGATGCGTCAATGTGCGAGACCGCAGGTATGCCAAGCTCATCTGCTTCCCAATTTCTGATTGATTTGTTAATTTTCTGAGATTTTAGGTCTGCAATAGGTTTGGCGTAACCCAGGTAAATAATGGCTAAATTTGCAAATATTTCAAAACATTTCAAAACAACAAACCAACTGCAGTTTCCAAGTGAAGCCAGGAGCATCTCTGAAGATGTTCATCGCCTTCCAACGCCGGTGAACTTTTCAAGGCTGCTTCTGCCATCCTCACCTCGCGTTGAGTCCCAATTTTTTTGGGGGACCATGGACCGCAAATTGCAGCACTTGAAGGTCTGCCATTGGAGTAGAGAAACACAGAGTTCCCTGCAACGTCAGTAATTACCCTAGCAGCCCTAACATCTTGAATCATCTTCATCAGCTGTGCTACATGCCATGAAACCGGCCCCCGCCTGATCATTGAGAAGTGCAACAGCTTCGCGTGTTTGAGCCGTCTCTTCAACACTGGATTTCAAGGCCACCGCAACTCGCGCAGTGACTTCGCACATTCCATCCAACTCCTCTTGGAGCTCCTCACCATCGGCAAATCATCAGTATCATGGTGGTTTAACCAACCAAAATTTGGGGGATCCACATGGATCCACCACCCCGGATGAATCTCTCATATAAAAAACACCTTCTAAAAAGGGCCTGGGGGGTAGCCGGGTAGCCTCAGCAGCTGCTGTAAGCTTCCAGGCCTGCGCAGCCATTGCAGCTTCCTTGGCGGTTTTCACGTAGACCACCGGATTTGACACATCTTCTCCATCACCTCGGTCGGAGAGTGCCTTTTTGGGCACCAAGTGCACCCAAAAAAAAAGGATCCATTTGATGTGCAAAGTGTGAGACCACCAGAATCCATGTAAAATATCATAAAATATTATAATATGAATATAATATATTCTATCATCAAGTTTATGTAATATCACTGACTATTTGAATAACCTATATATTTTACAGGAATTCCTGTGGCATGCTGAAGCAAAGAGGAGATCATGGTGGAGCTTAGGTCCCACCTATCACCAGCTGCTTGTAACGTTGTGGTCAGCTTGCGCAACTTTTTCAGTCGTCCCTGGCCCCGGCCATGGTATGCCCGTTTGAACTGGATCCAGATTGGCTGTGACCGAGTCTGGAAACCCACCAAACATTCCAGAATATTCCAGGCCCCAAAGTTTCAAAGAGATGTGTTCAAGGGCAAATGGAATGCATATATCTTGGTCAATTATTGATGAAGCTCTTGCGGCAGCAGAAACTTCCAAAGCACATGCGGTTTATCCCAACGCGTGAGCCAAGTCGGGTCAAGGCCTTCGTAGCCCAAACGGCCACGGATATGTAAAAGGCATGATGTGAAGTGATCCATCAACCAATGAACTCTGCACAGTTCATCTTATTCTTTTGTTGGTTGTGGATCATCACACCGATGGAACATGGTCACAAGAATGGCTGCTTTCTGACCAAACAGCTTTTGGGGGTTCACCAGCTGCATAAAATCAACATGGTTTTCCAACCTTCGCCATTCACAATGACCATTTGCAAAATCAAAACGGGCATACGTGCTCCTCAATGGATACAGAGCAGCTTCAAACCTAGGAAAAGGAACTCTAAAGCTCTTGGCGTTGCGAGCTACATTGATTCCTACATCCCCATGGTCATGCCAGCCTGTACAGTCACTCAGCTTCAGCAAATGAGGGAGCAGCGCATCATCGGGAGGAAGAGGTTCTCCAAGCACTGCCGTTGCAAGAGCCGCCGCATCGCCACTCTTCTGCTTGTTTCCCTTGCTCGTTTGCTTTATGAAAGCTGCTGTGTACTTGGCGCACCATTCGCACTCAGTCAAAATGCGGTGCATGTGCTCCATGTCCATGTCCTTGGTGCCGCTGTCCACAAACATGTTTTCCGTGCTGGTCCAACGCAAGGAGGTGTTTGCTCTCCCCAACATCGCACGGATCCATGCCACCGTAAATGCTAAGGACTTTTGGCTCCCATAACTCGGAGTATCTGATGTCCCTTTGTCGTAGAAGTCCTTGGCATCTGTGACCACGGTCAATGCCACAGCATCGGTGCTTGCATCCACGTTCTTTGACAGCATGGGGTATCCAAGAACTGCTGCAATGTGACCTCGGACAAATTGCCCAATGTCAAATGCCTCTTCACCACCAAGAAGCTCTGCAGCAAAGGTGGACCTGCATACGCGAGCGAGTCGATGACTCCGCCCATCCAGCAATGCAAACTTTCCACGTTTGCCCTCCATCAGCGTCTTCTCGGCGAAGAGCACAAAGTAGCACGACTGGCTATAGAGTCGCTCCAAAGGCTCGTCACCAACCGTGCCATCTGCACGAACATTGCCCAGCGATGAATCTGTCACCACCATGATCCCCGCGTCCTTCAGGTTCATCGGACGAAAGGTCAAGCCAAAACCCGGTTTCTCTTTGAACCTTTTCAGCAAGGCGTTGGCACGTAGCAAAGTTCCAACGCAAGGCTTCTCACCCTGCAAAGCACTCAAATGAAAGCCCATGTCCAGCCTCACTTGAGCCACCATCCACTGCATTGAACCAAGCAACCCACGCAGCTGCTTCAACTCGCCAGCGTTGAGCTCGGCAGAGAGGTCTTTCTTGCGCTCAGCAAAAACCTTCACGGGCTGCAGGTTAGCATGGTACTCCTCCATTGTGACATAGATGGTGCCATCATTCAAATCCTGACGAATGCGTTTGCCGCAATAAACAAACTCATCGGACTCGTAGGCACCAAAACCCAACTCCTGACCCAGGTTCTTCAGGCTCGCAACTGCAACATCATCACCTCCCATCAAAAGGTCATCAACATGAGAAATGATCATGCCATGTAAAGACGTAGGGTCGTCCTTTTTCCAAAGAAACCAACATGCATGGTCAACTGGAGAACGTTGCCATCCTCGCTCAAGCAAGGCGCGATTCAACCTGAGGTACCATTGCCGAGGAGCGTCTGCAAGTCCAAAGACACCCTTGACAATCTTGCAGATGCAGTCATCTGAAAATGGAAGACGTGGCATGTCTGAAGGTCCTCCAACATTGCGCAAATAAATTTCGCGCGCACCCTCCAAATAGCGCTCGCCCTTCATGAAGGCGGACTTGATGTCTGCTGAATGCAAACGCCACCCAAACAGGAAATTGGAAGCAGTGAGCACAAAGAGGATGTGTTGAGATAGCCTGCTCCCAGTCGGAGCGTCTTTGCGGAGCCCATAGGCACTTTCATCTTGATAGCCGGGCACCACCAAGCGGCTATTTGCTTTCAAGGGCAGTTGACGGTTTGCTGTTCTCAAGCCGTCGTTCTTGTCAGTCATCACCCAGCGGGGCGTCAGCAGTTTTGACATCTCGCCTCGTCGACGAAGATCTGCAATCACCCGTTTTGAAGTCGCTGGATCCAAAACTTCAACTGCACCATTGTCACTCCAGACCTGCCAACCAGATTTGCAAGCTTCACGGAACGCATCTTTCTGCTGTGAATCCAGTTTGCTCCATGTAAACTCCTTCCGAGCAGCTTGAACAGCCTGAGCTTCATATTCAACTTTCCCACAAGGCCATGTTTGCCCTAAGGCTTCTTTGATCTCCCACTGAGATCTGGATGGTAATTGCCAACGTCCATCCCAGCTGCCATGGTCATTGACTTCGTTGAGCTCGGGATCCAAGCGATCCAAGGCTGCCAAAGCTTGCGCTTGCAAAAGTGGATGTTGTTGTGAAGCGCCCGTCGCCCATTCCAAAAGCTGTTCACGAGTCACTTCCAAGGATTCTTGCATAAATGCCCCTGCTGTTCCTCCACCATCTTCAAAATCCAAAGTGGAGCTCCCTTGTGAAGCTGCAGGCGCCTGTTCAAATTGAGCGTCTGCCTGTGCTTGCCGTTGAAAATCACCAGCATCAACTTCAGCAGGGCGTTTCACTCCACGTTCATCAACTTCACGTGCACGCTCCAAAGTGGAGCTCATAGGAAGGCCGCGACGTCGGCCTGCAGTCAAAATCAAATCAGGCACAGGTGTACCTGGAGCCGCTGTCAATTCCCCACCATCACCAGAAGCTGTTGCTGTCGATGCTCTTCTTGAAACATCTGGTGAGGTCAAAGGAGACGTCGGAGTTGGAGCTACCGACGAAGGGATTGACGCTGTAGGATGAGCCACAGCCACAAATTCTGAAGGCCTGACCGGGGGTAAATCCAAACCGCCAGCAGGACCTTGGTTGGAGGGATCAAGTCCAAGTCCATTCCCACCAACCGCAGCGTCAGGCACAAGTCCAGGGCCTTCGGCTGCTTGTGGTCCAGATGGAGCAACTTGTTGTTGAGGTTGCTTTGCTTGCTGCTCCTTCTGGTGCTCCTTATCGTTGACTGCCGCTGCAATGCATTCGGAAATGGCCTCTTCCCAAGCACCTGCAGCGATCTGCTCAAGAGAGCTGGCTTTTCGAATGTGCTCGGCTGAACACTTCACCAATTGGCCCTTGTGAGACACAAAGCAATTTGTGGGCCCTTCCCAAGCTACCAACAAGGCGGGTCCATGCCATCGGCGAAGTGCCAAGACACGTTTTGCTTGTCTGCCCTTGTACTTCTGGAAGCGATAGAAGTAAACCATCTCACCAGGGGCCGGTTGTGAAATCACTGTGGTATTGCGAGATCGTGCTAATTCAGCTCGCCTCAACCCACGGGAAAAACGAAGGCGCACCATCGCCAGCTTCGCAGTTTCTCTCATTGCTATGGTTCTTGCCATTGAAGCTGAAGATGAAATCAAAGAGTGCTCTCCAAGGCGCTGCTGAATTCCACCAAGCACGTCTCCATGAAGACGGGGCTGTCTCCCTGTAACCACCTGCAAAGGAGAAAATCCACTGTCACCAACGTCCATGTTGTAAGCCATTGTTGCCTCTCCAAGCGCATCCATCAGATCTGCACTGCCGATCACGGAGTGACTGACTATCTGAGCGCTCAAAATGGCTTTCAAAGTCCCACCGCTTCTCTCTGCAACCCCGTTTTGCCATGGGCTGCCAATTGCGGTGTAGTACACATAAATTCCCAAGCCAGCACAAAAGGTCTCAAACTCATGGGACACAAATTCTCGGCCTTGGTCACAAACGAGAACTCGAGGTGGCCCCAGTAGAGGTAACCAATGCTGCTTGATCCAGGAAACTACTGCACCAGTGGATTTGTTCTGCAAGACTCCCGCAAGCTGATATCGGGAGGTGTAGTCCGTCATGTGGACAATGAAATGGTTGGTCTCTCCCGCATCCATGACCTGAAAAAGATCGATGTGCACCTGGTCGTTCACATCTTCGGGAACTGGAAGAGACGCCGGCTTTGGCGGTTTCATTCTTTTCTGTTCACTGCAAACTGAGCAGCGAAGATTCTTTGCTGCAACAACCGCCTCCAATGGCGCACCACTCACCATCAGAGCGCGTGCCAGCCGCTTCATACTGCGGTGCCCTGTATTTTCGTGAAGCCTCTTCACGGCCTGCATTGTCGCTGCACTGACATGTGGAGGGTCAGGGACTTCAACATCGGAACCACTGTCCTCATGGATGAATTCAAAACCCTGGCCGCCATCTGCTGCATCATCATGTTGTTCTCCACCGCCAGCTTCAATTTCAGCATCCAACTCATCTTCAAGTGCTAGGGCCTCGTTGCCGGCCGTGTCATAGGGCTCTTCCACCTCCACCAAACGTCTGCCATAGTCCAACTCAAACTGATCCTCCACGGCCTGAACAATGGCGCGTGCCATAGCTGAAGGGTACCTCCCCGCAGGAGAAGTGATTTTGCTCCCTCCAATCACCTGCGCATGCAAGTGGTTGCGCTTGCAACGTTTGTTCAAGAACCTTGAAATCACCGTCTGAGAAGACGTAGCAAAACGCGTTGGCTTCATGTGCAAAAGTCCAGTCGCACAGCAACGCAAACCAAGCTGACATCGGTCAAACTTCACCAACAAAGCTTCCACACGTTTCAGCCATTTTCGAACTTCTTCAAGTCGCCAAGCCTTTGAGCCTGCTGGATTCTCCAGGATATAGTGTCTTCCACCTGCAATCTGTTCCTCAGCCAAACGCAATGCAAAACGTAGCAACGTCAAACCACGCTTGAAGTGCTCTTCAGGGAATGCAGGGGGATTCAATTCCAGCAATGAAGTGAAAAAGTTACATGGAAATGCCAGCATGAGGAAATAAGGCTTGGCTGTTCGCACCCAATGGAGAGCTCGCCGACGATGAAGAGGATTCAAGAAATCCCATCCAGTCTCAAGTGACATCGGCAGACCGGTGAGATGTCCACGTCGTTGAGCTTCTTGAGTGACTCGTTGGGAGTAGGTGTAAACCTCAGCAACTGCAGGATTTGATGAGGGCAAGGTCAAACTCGCCAGGAAAACCTCATTCATATTGTCCTGCATCTCTTTCTCCCACATGGCCTCATAGACATTGTTCACTTGTGAAGCAGTTGTTGATATCCGCTTCCGATCAGCCACATGTTTCTCCCAAGCTTGGACAATCATTTGTCTCTGTCCAGGTTTGACCACATCACCCTTCAGCGGTTTGACCTCTTGCTGGTCATCTATCCATCCAGTCCGTCTGCCATCTGCAGGAGGTTGTCCGCCACCACTTGTGAGACGATGGGGATGCCGCTTTGTGATGGATGTGGATAGCGAGCTGCCATCTCTGGGGTGATGTGTGGAACCTCGCCGTCCGGAACATTGAACGGCTGCTGTGGATCGGCTTCCATCTCCGCGTCCATGGGCGGTGCATTCATTCCCATGGTCATCACATGTTGAAACACTTGGCCGAGCATTCCTTGAAAACGATGCTCCTGCGCATCCATCAGCTGCTTCAACTGTTCCATGGTGACTCCCGGAGGCGAGCTTGAGAGAGAGGAATTTTCCACTGAAGTCACCACTCCAATGCTTGGAGTTCCTGGTTCCGCCGGAGTATGAATTGGAATCGACCCCGACTTTGCCTTGGGCATGGCTTTCGGTTTCTCCAAGGTGGGCTTCATGGCCTCCAAGGTCGGTTTGATCTTTTCCTTGATGACTTCGATGGTGTCCTTGGGTGCAATCTCGACATGCAACAAGGCTGCCAGTCGAAGCAGGTCGGCTTTCAACGTAGGAAGGCCTCCTCGTGGTCCTATCAGGGATCGCACTGCCTCTTCCTGATTGCCCTTGGCCAAAATGGCCTCTGCTTCGATCTGTGCTTCGCGAACCACTGCTTGACGGATTCGCTGATTGACACCGCGGTTGGCTCTGGCTGCCAACATTCCTGTCAGGAGAGGGTCCTCCAGGAACGCATGCTTGATGCCCATTCGGTTGCGAAGCTGCCCCACCAGTTGGAGATTGGCCACGGTGAAGAGCCTGCGAATCTTTGCATACCGATAGTGTCTCCTGGAGTAGGCCCCATTGCTGGCCATCATCTCGGCCTGCTCCACCCAAGCTGATGGGCTGCCCACAGTGGGATATGGGTACGGCAGGAACCGCAGAAAGGGCCGCTGAACAAGCCATAAGAGCTGTCCATATGCATGCCATACGGCTCGCACGATGAACCGCAGGACGAATCTGCCCCACTTGACGGTCATCGGCTTTGACTGCTCGTCCATGGATCCTGGTCGAAGAGGAAGTTGTCGGAGAAGATCGCGAGCTTGTTGTGCTCTGCTTCATGTCTTGAACCACAGGACCAACGGACGGAGTCCGATCAATTCCAGAAAACTTCACATCAGCTGCTTGCATACTTTGTTCTGTCAACAAATGTTCATGCTGCCGTGACAAACGTGTTTTGATCCCTTGTGCCGACATCTTCCTAGAAACCCACTCAGCACCAGAAACTTGCAATTCCAAAACACCATCTTGACCCAATCTCCTCCAGCGCAGCTTGTTGGGCCTCGTCCATGAAGGAGGGACCAAGGGCAGCATGAAATGGCCAGCAGCGAGTTGCCTCAGCGGAGTGATCGATGAGTCCAGGTGATCACACCGAAGAGCTCGCCGTGAGAAACTCAAAACAGCGCCAATTGCATCAAGAAAATCTCTTCCAAAAAGCAAACCAAGACTTGGAACTGAAACCACTGATGTCCAAAACAATACCAGTGTGGACCCCACCATCATTGGCAACCTCCATCGTTCTGAACTCACCTGGGTGCCACCGTTGCCAAATCTGAAGGTCTCCGATTCAGCCTCACAGCAAATCAAGGATTGGATCTCTGCAGGCGCACTCTTGAGGTGCTGCAAATAGTTGGACAACCAAGTGCTCCCAGTACAGGTGCGGTTGCATGCTGAATCCAACGCACCAACGAGCTTTTTGTCCCAAGCCAATGAAGGTCCAGTGCCGCTGGTCGGCTCCACAATCTTTGACTGGGAGTTCAACAAGGCCTCCTTCAAGGTCATGCCTCTGTCCAGCTGCACCATTGAAACCTCATGCTCAGCGCCATCATCTCGCTGAGCCATCGCAACTTCATGGGGGCCTCCAACAATGTGTTCAGTGTTGTAAGCTTCAACCACTTTCACCTGTCTTGCATTTCCAACGGCCTTCTTCCTTCCAAGGCCTGCTCCAGGCTTTCCACACTGAGGGTCTCCAGCCCAGTGTCCATGTTCATTGCAATCCCAGCATGGGTGTTTGCCGCTCTGTTTGCGGGAGTTGACCTGGTTTCCATGGACCTTGGTCTTTGGGGGACTATTGGAAGTCGACGGCTTTCCGTATCCGCGATCTTTGCGGACCTCTGCAAGCTTCCCACGAGCCTCACGCATCGTGATTAGGCTTTCAGCAGCCTGTTCCACTCCAGATTCAAGCTCGTTCAAGAACTCGGTGTCTATTCCTTCATTCTCTGCTTCCTCAATCTCAGTGGCCAACACTTCAGCCTCTGTTTGAAGCACCTCCTCCAAGGAAAAGGCTTGAGGGCCTCTGTCAGGGCTGCCCTCTTCATCAGGTTCACCTTCTTCTTCAACCTGTTCTTCCTCCAGTTCGGTCACATGAGACTGCCTAGGTGGAAACGGTTTCTTGAAAGGTGGCCTGGATGAAGACACCCCAGACCTGAAAGATCTGCCACTGGAACTCGCCATAGAGCTCGGATAGGACGACCTGCTCCCCGTTGATGTAGAGCCAGCTTGTGCCAAGAAGCGCTGAAGCAACGGCGGTCGCTGCTCATTCATCGGCTTTCGCATCAACGGGTCAGAGGTGTGGAGGTCCTTGAAGAGTCTCAACACTTCAGATTCCACCACATCGTAGTCCTCCTTTCCGGCCAAAGCTGTTTCAAGCAGTTGTTGTCGAAGAGGGTCAAGTCCAAGCTTCGACTTCAAAAACCATCCAAGTTCTCCTGCAGGTAGCTTGATACCTTCTTGCTTCAGTTCCGCTGTGAGTGTGCGGAAACGGGTGCAAAACTCTGACAGTCGCTCACCAGGCTTCCGGCGCAAATCCAAGTAGAAGGAACTGCGCAACTCACCCTTGCGGTCAAGGTCTGTTTTGCCATTCAGCGACTCCAAAGCTTTGAGCAAACGATTCAAACCTGCCAAGGGATCTTCCGGTGTCAGCTCCACATCCTCTCCAGTTTGAGGATCCCTTGAAACCACAGCCTTTTGGTATTCGAGCTCTGATGGCTCAAACTCCTCTCCACGGGCTCGAACTGCTCCGCTTTGACGTAGAAGCCAGCGGGCTGCTAAGTTGTAACGTTTTGTGTCCTCAAGGTTCAAGCTTGAGGTCCACCATGACATCTCGCGCTTAAAAGCGCGCCACGTGGCAGGACTGCCATCCCACGTCGGCACTCTGTACCATGCCGATGATCCCTTCTCGTCCTCGGCCATCTCGCCAAGGTATTGGCAAAATGCCAATCAAGCAAAAGGTAAACCAAGGTGAAAACCAGCCTGAGGCTATGCTATTGAAACACGTAGAGCTCAGCAAGGAAGACGCTGATGTTATTCACCAGAGTGTCCTTGAAGTAGATGAAGCAGCCAGCAAAGATCTTAGATCGAATGCCAGACGCAGGACCTGCACAGGGTCAGCAATCCAAAGTGCCCAAAGCTAATCGCGGATCAGCTGCACAGGCAATGATTGCGAGCACAATGCAAAGGACCTGCTCAGGGTCAGCAAACCAAAGATGCCAGATTGCAATTCGCAGAAATGCAGTCACAAGCAATGATTGCGAGACCCAAAACGCACAGAAGAGCTAAATGGAGTATGCGCAGCAAATGCCAAATGCCCAGGAAAGAAACTCAGGGACTCCGCTGCCACTGATGAAGCTCTTGCGGCAGCAGAAACTTCCAAAGCACATGCGGTTTATCCCAACGCGTGAGCCAAGTCGGGTCAAGGCCTTCGTAGCCCAAACGGCCACGGATATGTAAAAGGCATGATGTGAAGTGATCCATCAACCAATGAACTCTGCACAATTATAGTATTTCACTAACCTGAATTAAGCCCATTTGTTGATGATTTCCCTTATAAACCATGATTGAATGCGCGGTGATGGTAACAACTTTCCTGCCTGCATTCGCGCGACTGCTGAGGCTGCCTGCGCACCTGGAGACATCCAATGCCGAAAAAATCTTCACAGTGACCTTGAAAAAATGCACACACACACATTTATATAATTTAATCATATATGTGTGAGTGTGTGTGTGTGAGTGAGTGTGTGTGAATATAATATGTATATATTATATAAATTAATCATATATGTGTGTGTGAGTGTGTGTGAATATAATATGTATATATTATATAAATTAATCATATATGTGTGTGTGTGAGTGAGTGTGTGTGAATATAATATGTATATTATTAGTATATATATATAATATAATTATATATATATGAACATATCGTGCCAAGCCTAGGCGTTCTTGCTCTTCAGTCAGTGGGTGTTCTGCTCCATCCTTGGGCGTGCACTGTGCAGGGCTACCATGACGCCACGTTTGCCGAACAAATCAGGTGGAACGTGGCAGTCACCAGTCGCCACGTTTTCCGAGGAAAAGTGAGGAAAAATGCGGCTCGAGGGTCTGGGACATGGGCATCGGTGCCTGCTTTCGACAATGCCAGGAGCTCTTCGTGCAAGTGGTTGATTCCTTTGGTGCTTCTGTCCTGGGAAGCCATGGGTTACTACAACCGCCACTGTGAACGTTTGGATGGGTGCAACATGGTGCAACCACTGAGCTCCCTGCGATGTTGCTGCACTGTCCCGATCTCAGCCGCACGGGGTTCCGAACTGTCTCCATGAAATGAGCACAGCCTGCATGGAGTTTTCATGACTTGTCTATCCATCGCTACCAAATAATGTTTGCACCCGATTAGTGTCCTGGTACCCTATTGTGAGAAATTTCTTGCTCCTAATTCAGTCACATGCAAATTGTTGGGGGGAACTCTATTGTGAGATTTTTTTCCAGATGAGATTTTTTTCCAGATTTTTTTTTCATTTTCTTTTTCCAAATGCTTTAACTTTTGTTTAAAAAAAATATTTTTTCTAATTATTTATGTTTATTAGATTTTTATTTTTATTTTAAATGCCTTATTAAACCCTTATTTAAAAACAGCACCCAGACAATTTTTCAAGGGGATACCTCATGAGTGGCTCAGTTACTCAATAATATAATTGTTTGGATGGTACTCTATTGTGAGCACCAACTTTTGGGAGTGAAAAAAAAAAGCAAAACCCTTTCTCCACCTTTCTTTGGGTAAAGCTGGTCCCTTTACTTTAGAAAGCCATGGTTGTGTTAAAGCTTTCAAAATGCAATGTTTCCCAAATAATTAGATGCCTGATTAAACCCTTATTAAAAAACAGTACCCAGACAATTTTTCAAGGGGATACCTCATGAGTGGCTCAGTTACTCAATAATATAATTGTTTGGATGGTACTCTATTGTGAGCACCAACTTTTGGGAGTGAAAAAAAAAAGCAAAACCATTTCTCCACCTTTCTTTGGGTAAAGCTGGCCCCTTTACTGTAGAAAGCCATAGTTGTGTTAAAACTTTAAAATGCAAGGCTTTCCAAATAATTAGATGCCTTATTAAACCCTTATTAAAAAACAGCATCCAGACAATTTTTCAAAGGGGTACCTCATGAGTGGCTCAGTTACTGAATAATATAATTGTTTGGATGGTACTCTATTGTGAGCACCAACTTTTTGGAGTGAAAAAAGAAACGAAACCCTTTCTCCACCTTTCTTTGGGTAAAGCTGGTCCTTTCACTTTAGAAAGCCATATTTGTGTTAAAACTTTAAAATGCAAGGTTTCCCAAATAATTCGATGCCTTATTAAACCCTTATTAAAAAACAGCATCCAGACAATTTTTCAAGGGGGTACCTCATGAGTGGCTCAGTTACTCAATAATATAATTGTTTGGATGGTACTCTATTGTGAGCACCAACTTTTGGGAGTGAAAAAAAAAGCAAAACCCTTTCTCCACCTTTCTTTGGGTAAAGCTGGTCCCTTTACTTTAGAAAGCCATAGTTGTGTTAAAACTTTAAAATGCAAGGCTTTCCAAATAATTAGATGCCTTATTAAACCCTTATTAAAAAACAGCATCCAGACAATTTTTCAAAGGGGTACCTCATGAGTGGCTCAGTTACTGAATAATATAATTGTTTGGATGGTACTCTATTGTGAGCACCAACTTTTTGGAGTGAAAAAAAAAACGAAACCCTTTCTCCACCTTTCTTTGGGTAAAGCTGGTCCTTTCACTTTAGAAAGCCATAGTTGTGATAAAACTTTAAAATGCAAGGTTTCCCAAATAATTAGATGCCTTATTAAACCCTTATTAAAAAACAGCATCCAGACAATTTTTCAAGGGTGTACCTCATGAGTGGCTCAGTTACTCAATAATATAATTGTTTGGATGGTACTCTATTGTGAGCACCAACTTTTGGGAGTGAAAAAAAAAGCAAAACCCTTTCTCCACCTTTCTTTGGGTAAAGCTGGTCCCTTTACTTTAGAAAGCCATAGTTGTGTTAAAACTTTAAAATGCAAGGCTTTCCAAATAATTAGATGCCTTATTAAACCCTTATTAAAAAACAGCATCCAGACAATTTTTCAAAGGGGTACCTCATGAGTGGCTCAGTTACTGAATAATATAATTGTTTGGATGGTACTCTATTGTGAGCACCAACTTTTTGGAGTGAAAAAAAAAAGAAACCCTTTCTCCACCTTTCTTTGGGTAAAGCTGGTCCTTTCACTTTAGAAAGCCATAGTTGTGATAAAACTTTAAAATGCAAGGTTTCCCAAATAATTAGATGCCTTATTAAACCCTTATTAAAAAACAGCATCCAGACAATTTTTCAAGGGTGTACCTCATGAGTGGCTCAGTTACTCAATAATATAATTGTTTGGATGGTACTCTATTGTGAGCACCAACTTTTGGGAGTGAAAAAAAAATGAAAGTAAATTAAAATCAATTGAAAGTAAATTGAAATCAATTGAAAGTAAATTGAAATCAATTGAAAGTAAATTAAAAGTAAATTGAAATCAATTGAAATTGAAAGTAAATTAAAAGTAAATTGAAATCAATTGAAAGTAAATTGAAATCAATTGAAAGTAAATTGAAATCCTTTCTTAAGTTGATTGACAAAAAAAATGTTGAGGGGGGGGCAAAAAAAAGTGCGAGTTATAGAGTATCCTCAAATTGTTTGGGGGGGGGGCCCCTCACACTAATCAGATGCAAACATTAATCCAAATATCATTTCTTGTTTATGAACATCATTGAACATCCATATATAAATCCCAGCTATTTCCATGTTGACCAGGGAATTCCATAGGTTTTGACGGTTTTGACCACCTATTTTCATGCCAAGATTCTGCCCAGCATGCGAATCTTGCTGCCCTCCGCCGTCCTCCGCACACCGCTGGAAATCATGCTTTCCAAGGAAATCCTCCTGCTCGAAATTAGTCAAATTTGAGTTGTCAGAATTCAAAAAATCTCCTCGTAATATGTTCATAATCTATTCATGCCATTGACATCCATTGACTATTTATTCAATCCATTCAAATCCTATCCGTAAGTAGCAGCTAATAAAATAGTGTAGATCCATTCCAATCTCACGGAGCTTTTGACCTCTCCATAGCTCTCCTTGCCACCAGCCAGTTGTTGCATCATGCTGGCTAGAGCCTCTGCATGCTGCAGCTCCAGGTCAGCCTCGGCATTCGCTGCACGCATCACTGGTACTGCTGGTACTGCCAAACTATTGGAAGCTATTAGAAGGCTTATAGCTTCCTCGTTGCCGCAAACGTTTGAACCATTTTCATCATTTTTTCTCTCCCTCTCACATTCTTTCTTTCCCTCTCACATTCTTTCTTTCCCTCTCCCTCTCCCTCTCCCTCTCCCTCTCTTTCAATCTCTCCCTCCCCTTCCCCATCCACATCTCTATCTCAAGAAGTTCATTCAACAACAATTAAATACAAAAGTGATCAAACGTGATCAGACCGACCTAAATGTGAATAGAAATGCCTGAAGCTATGCAGCCACGAAGCTCCGTGCTGAACAATGAACCTCGCCTGCTCTTCTAAAGCATGTCGCAAGCGCTTGTTCTCAAATTCGAGATCGCAAGCATCTTGGTAGAAGCACAACTGCAGAAAGCCCAAATCTCTCTTGTGCGTTTTTTTCGAGCAGAATCTGTCAACCCTGGACTGTGTCTGCTGTGGCATACAGTAGGTGCCATACCTCTCAAGAATCAACACACATCAATGCAAAGCACATCTGCTGTAGCTGTGCAATACTGATCTTTCATAACAAGAAGCGGGTGGACATCTTGCTATGCTGGGAAACCGCTTCCTGGAACGAATGGACAAAGAGCCGTGACGTCGATGTTGAGTCATTTGAGTGCAGCGTTCGCATGGAACATCATCATGCAATCAGCGATGTCGCTCTTTTCATTGGTGATTTGATGTGAATTGTTCAGGTGGATCGGCATTGATCATTGCTCATTATTCTTGATAAACCAGGTTGATGATATGGTGATATATGGTGATTATGGATGATCATTGTATACTATAGTTACTATTGCATCTAATATAAAAATTGATCGTGGGGGCCATGGCCTGGAGCTGCTCATCACTCTCCCGCAGCTTCTCAAGCAGTTCGCTCACCTCTTCCGTCATCCTACGGTGCTGGTGAAAAACCATGGAACCGCCATGGCTGTTGCTATTTTTAGCTGTGATATGCTGTGATATGCTGGGATTTATGGATGCACATGGAATTATAAATTATATGGATGTGAATGATGTGAATTTGCCACAACAGCATGCAGCTGTACGAGTAGTGCGGAAATATGAAAGAAATGCAGCCAAATCACAGGCCCGTTTCAGCCTCACTTTCTGAGCGCGAATTCGCACTTGGCTCGTGATCATTGGACTCTTCCACCTGCGCATGGCATTGCATGGCTATCTGGCTATCGTCTGGGCATCTGGGTATTTGCTGCTTGGGCTACGGCACCTGTTGCTCGGTATATCCAGAAAGAAGGTCCTTCTCAAGGAACACCTTGTTGTCCAGGATAGATGGGGCACTTCTCCTGCGTTCTTGCCAGCGGCCCATGGTCTTCCGGAGAGCCTCGTTCTCCTGACAGCAGGGGTGGTGATGAAACCAGTCAGTCCGCATGAGTTTGTATAACCACGATCCCATAGTGCTATAGAAGCATCAGACACTTTGATAGATTTTGGGCATTGCATGAAACCCGACCCTCTTCATTCATAAGTTCCAGCCGCGTGAGCCAAAGATGTCCAGCCTTTATCAGAGTCTCTCCATACACACGCTGCCTTTCGATTTGCTCATGCCTTGGAGCAATGGAGCACTGGCTCGTGCCTTGAAGATCTTGAAGATCTAGAAACAAGCGCAAGTCGAAGCCTGACTGCTCAATAATTGCACACCCAAGGCTCACAATCATGTCCCGGTTTTCCAAGATTTGTAGTTCACGCTTCGTTTCTTGAATTTCCTTTGTGAACTTGTCGACTTCCACCTCCGCCTGGGGAAACAAATCTTCAAAGCTGTTCTGTCAGGCATGATTATTCAGCATGAATTGGTCGCCTTCTCCAACTTGCCCTGAAATTCCTTCGATTCCTCTTCACTGATCCTAGCAAACAATGGAAATCTCTCAGGTGATCCATCTAAAGGTGACGTTGGAAGCCCCTAAACTGACCATTTGCTCCAAGAAGATTCAACCTTTGGGTTTGAGAGTTCGGGGTCTTCAATTTGCTCGTCGTGCGTCCAAACAAGGTTTTCCATAGAGAACCCAAGTTGACAGAATGATCCGCCACCCAAGGGGTCTTCCCCCGCTCTTCAACCAAAGCATCTTGAGCTTCTTGAGGGCATTGTCACGTTCACGATGCAGCAACCGCACTTGTTCAGCCACTTTCTTTAGCTTCGCTTCTCGCTGCGAGCTTGTCTCCTTGTCATGAGCCACCCATCCCAGAATTTGAGTCATCTGAGCGATCTGGGGTCATCTTCCCAAAAAATGCCACACTGCCATGCCATGAAAGAAATATCTTGAAACTAGACTATATAATTATTAAGGACATTTCTCTCTCTCTCTCTCTTTCTCTCCCTCTTTCTCTCTCTCTGTCTTTGTTCATGGCCAGTTGGCCGTTTGGCCATTTGGTACCAGTTCTCTACATGCTCGCCAGGTGCCATTCTAACAGGGTTTGCCAGTGCCAACCGTCCATCTACATGAGTTTGTCTCAAAAAAATGGTTCCCTAAAATTCCAATGGGCCATTCAATGTCATGAAATTGTTGGGTTCCAGATAGTGACTTTTGTGGTTGATCCCCCGTTTCTAGGACATCGTTTGATCCAAGCTCCTTCATGGATTCCATTTCCTGCTGGAGCCGTTCGACCTTTGCTGTCGCTTCTGCCACTGCAGACTCTGAAGCGTGACTTGCCTTCAGCCAGAAATTGCTCGTGACATGCCGCGATGCTGGTCAGAAGCTATTGGAATTAACATGAACTACAGGAACTTCGAGTTATCATGATGTGTGGCTTGTATTGCCTGTATTGAACGGGCTGAAGTGACGTCGGCTCACGATCGACCGTCATGCTTTACAGCACACAGCATCTTGAAGTGCACAAATTGCTGGGGCAAAATAATGCAACACACACACATACATGAATTTCAAAGTAGATGGCTCAACTCAAAAACCAAAATACCCATAAGATGGCACCGCGCGCTGAGAAAGAAAACGGCGCTATTTTAGCTGGAACATAAAACGAGTTCCGCCAATTGAAGAAAAAATCACCCTACTTTAAAATGAGAAGGTAGATGGCGCAACTGCCACTCCAGTAGATGGACATAAGGGTATTGTTTACTAAATTTACTACATTTCCGATCATTTTTGCTTGTATATACGGTGGAATTGCACAAATTTGTATTGTATAAAATGAGTTGCGCCATCTATGTCCCTTGAATCCCATTCCAATGCCAGATTTTTTTTTTTTCGATGGGTTCAAAAATGAATTGCGCCATCTATGTGCCTTAAATCGCATTCAAATCTTTCAAAATTTCAGTGCCACGCCTTAAAAATGAACCACTGAAGGTTTTAAAACTGATTGTGGACAGAATTTATGGATAGAAATTTCATTTTTCAACATATTTTGACAAACATATACTGGAAAAACACTTTTAAAATTTCATTGCCATACCTTGAAAATGAGTTGCGCCATCTATGTCCCTTGAATCCCATTCAAACGCCAGATTTTTTTTCGATGGGTTCAAAAATGAATTGCGCCATCTATGTGCCTTAAATCGCATTCAAATCTTTCAAAAATTCAGTGCCACGCCTTAAAAATGAACCACTGAAGGTTTTAAAACTGATTGTGGGCAGAATTTATGGATAGACATTTCATTTTTCAACATATTTTGACAAAAATATATTGGAAAAACACGTTTAAAATTTCATTGCAATACCTTGAAAATGAGTTGCGCCATCTATGTCCCTTGAATCCCATTCCAATGCCAGATTTTTTTTTTCGATGGGTTCAAAAATGAATTGCGCCATCTACTACGTTCCTTAAATCGCATTCAAATCTTTCAAAATTTCAGTGCCACGCCTTAAAAATGAACCACTGAAGGTTTTAAAACTGATTGTGGACAGAATTGATGGATGTAAATTTCATTGTTCAACATATTTTGACAAACATATATTGGAAAAACACTTTTAAAAATTCATTGCCATACCTTGAAGATGAGTTGCGCCATCTATGTCCCTTAAACCCCATTCAAACACCCGAAATTTCTTTTTCGATGGGTTCAAAAATGAGTTGCGCCATCTATGTCCCTTAAATCGCAGTCAAATCTTCGAACAAATTCATTGCAATACCTTGTAAATGAACCACTGAATGTTTGAAAACTCATTGTGGACAGAATTTTATGGATAGAAATCTCATTATTTCAGAATTTATGGATGTCGGGAGATATGAGGGAGTTGCGCCATCTATGTGGGCATTTGCAGCCTGATTTTGGCGAATGAGTGGGAGTTGCGCCATCTATGTCCCTAAAAAAGACATATTTTTTGCAATGCTCTACGCTCTGGCAATTGCCACTTTGCTTGGCCCCGGAAAACGGACCCCACCAAGTTCCCCGAAAAAGAGCTTTTTCGTGAGTTTCCCAAAGGAAACTTGACACTTGGTGGGGTCCGTTTTCCGGGGCGAACCCAACTGGAAAATTGTTCCTCAGGTCACTTGTTAAAATTGGGTTTTAAAGCGTCTCGACCTTTGCTGGCTCAAAACAACTTCTGTCATTTCGCCAAAATCAGGCTGGGAATGCCCACATAGATGGCGCAACTCCCCGGGAGTTGCGCCATCTGTCCCAAAAAGGCAGCTTGATGTTGAGAAAAAATTATGGGGAGAAACCAGCGCAGAAGATTGCAAAAAATATGTCATTTTTAGGGACATAGATGGCTCAACTGCCCTTTTTTAAAGGGAGTTGAGCCATCTATCCCCCATTTTTTTTTGACATAGATGGCGCAACTCAAGATTCCGCGCCATCTACTTTGAATTTCGAGTATATATTACATATAAATATCAAAATCCCCCGAGGACAATCATCCAAGGTAGGATGGCAGGCAACAGTGCATCTGCAACATCTGGCGCAACGCTCAAGGTCCACTTGGAAACTCTTTGCATGTCAAGTTTCTGTCTGAGCTTCAACGCTGACGTTGCGGTATCCTTTGGAGACCACAGCAAGCTCGCGCTGCAAATGACGGCGCTCACGTTCCAACTCCAAAATTTCCAGCCTCACTTTTTTGGCGACTCTGCGTGACTCAAATTTGCGAACTCAAAGGGTAAGAATTACGGTTCTACCAAGTTCTACATCCGGTAATTTAACATAGCTATTGAAAATGCCATTTATAGTGGATTTTCCCATTGAAAATGGTGATTTTCAATAGTTATGTAAACGTTTACCAGAGGCTACCCCGCATCCTCCCATCCTCCCAAGACCGTCTCAGGATTGCCCAAGCCACGATTTCTGAGTAATGATCTCCTGCGAACATGGGGCCCATGGGCTTCACATAGCTGGCATAGCTGCCAACTTTTTGAAACACACCATAGCTGCCATCACTTGATATCACTTGATTCCATTGAAATTACTTTACTTCGTGTGATCCCCACCATGACATTTATACATTTTCTTACTGGCAAATCTTCTGGCATTCTATCTGACATATCTTCTGACATTCTATTTGGCATTCTATCCGGCATATCTTCTGGCATATGATCTGGCATATCTTCTGGCATATCTTCTGGCATTCTATCTGGCAAATCTTCCGGCATTCTATCTGGCATATCTTCTGGCACTCTATCTGACATATCTTCTGGCATTCAATCTGGCATTCTATCTGGCATATCTTCTGGCATATATTCTGACATATCTTCTGGCATTCTATCTGACATATCTTCTGGCATATATTCTGACATATCTTCTGGCATATCTTCTGGCATATCTTCTGGCATATCTTCTGACATATCTATCTGGCATATCTTCTGGCATATTTTCTGGCATTCTATCGGGCAAATCTTCTGGCATTCTATCTGGCATTCTATCTGGCATATCTTCTGGCATATTATCTGGCATTCTATCTGGCATATCTTCTGGCATATCTTCTGGCATATCTTCTGACATTCTTTCTGACATTCTTTCTAACTTTCTTCTGCACATTTTTTGTCCCATATCTTCCTACATGAGGTCCGGCAGGGAACACTTGGCGTGGATACTCGCGGTTGAGGTCCGGCAGGGAACACTGGGCGTGGATGGTCGTGGTTGAGGTCCGGCAGGGAACACTGGGCGAGGATGGTCGTGGTTGAGGTCCGGCAGGGAACATTGGGCGTGGATGGTTGTGGTTGAGGTCCGGCAGGGAACACTGGGCGTGGATCGTGGTTGAGGTCCGGCAGAGAACACTGTGGATCGCGGGTCGCAGTTGAGCAAGGACGACGAGGACGACGAGGAGGACGAGGAGGAGGAGGAGAGGAGGACGAGGCAGGAGGAGGTGGAGGAGAAGGAGGAGGAGGCAACTGACATAAAATCTAACAACCCTCACCTGGCAGGTGGGGAAAAGGTAAGTCAGCAATCCACAGATATCCAAAATGCATGATGCCCACAAGTCAGTCCTTGTGCTTGGCAACCTCGCTGCTGATCAACAACTCTTTGAGTCTGTCGATCTGACCGAAGTTGACCTTACAACTTAATCAACTTAGGACACATCTGTCATGGACCAGGAAACTCCTCATGGCACAACCGTCACAACCTATGGTTCAACAGGTTTCAACCGCCACCCCTCAAGTGGAACAGGTTCCGGATGGTTCCGGCATCCCCGAGCACCACACAGTTGGCGACACAGCAGCGTTTCCCTCAAAGATCATCTTCAACTTCTCCTGGAAAATACCACGAGTTACCAAGTATAACATAGTATAACCAAGTCAAGGGTAACTGATGCTTCCAACTCCCTGAAGAATATCAATCATCTTGAAATATTTTGAATCATCATCTCAAATGAGGAACATAGTCTTTTGATGTCTTTGGCACGTCTTTGCCAACAGATCTAACAGATTCTAACAGGCTCCTTAATGACTTCCAAGCAGAATTGCAGCTCATGTGGCTGTAGCGTCTTCATTGGTTCCTGATTCGACATACCATACTGAGTCATCAAACAGGCAGTGGCCCACAGTTCCAATATGGGGCTTTCCGAAAAAGTGGGTGATCATGGGTGATCCCAAAAACCATGGGTTTCAATACTAAAATGATCTATATATCTAACATGGTCATTTTCTTTTGGATGATTTGGGGGTACCCCCAAATCATAGTGAAACCTCCATATGTTCCGACCAAGCAACGAAAAAGAACATCACATCCTTCAGCTGCCTCAGCATCTCCATGCAGCTCCCATCAGATTCCAGTGCGCCCCATTGTTTGGGGAACGGCTGAAACTGCTGTCTATCTGAGCAGTTTATGTGGTACACTTGTGAAGGGGGATTTTAGCCAACCTCTGGAAACCATAAAATAATTAATTTGTAAAAAAACTGTAAAAAAATTGTGACTTGAAGTGTACCTGGAAATAAATAGTGAAAAAAACTGTAAAAAAAATGTGTGACTGGAACTGCACCTGGAAACAAATAGTAAAAAAAAATAGTGACTTGTGTGAGTAGGGAAAATGCCAGGGAAGTAGAACTGCACAAACAAAGACAAGAAAGGGTCTTACTGGAATTCTGCTGGCCTTTGCATGGTAACACGCATCAAGTGGCATTCCAGCTACCCAGGACGTAAAGAGTAGCACATGTCACCCGCGCAACTCACATCAATGGCACAGGTGAAATTCACATTTTTTCAAGGTACACTTTTTTCACTATGTTTTTCCCGGTGCACTTCTTCCACTATTTGTTTCACTATTTGTTTTCCAGGTACACTTTTTTCACTATTTGTTTCATTATTCTTTTTCTAGGTATTTATTTTCACTACTCTTTTTCCAGGTACACTTTTTTCACACTTTTTTCACTATGTGTTTCACTAATCTCGACCCCTTATTAATAAAGGTCCCCCTAATAAAAAGAATGCCGGCGCTCGGGACCATTTTTTTTTAAATTGTTTTTCCATTCCGCCTATTGAAAACCAATACTACATGAGCCGAGAATAAATTAACACGCCTCGTCGAGCTTATTAGGGGTACACTTTTTTCACACTTTTTTCCACTATTTTTTTCCAGGTGCACTTTTTTCACACTTTTTTTCACTATTTTTTTCCGGGTACACTTTTTTCACACTTTTTTTTCACTATTTTTTTCCAGATACACTTTTTTTCAGATTTCAAAAAAGTAAAAAAAATGTACCCTTACGAGGAAAACATTCAAAATTAGTAGAAAAAAGTGCATTTTCCTCGTAAGAGTACACTTTTTTTACACTTTTGAAATCTGAAAAATAGTAAAAAAGAGTAAAAAAAGTGTACCCTTACGAGGAAAACATTCAAAATTAGTTAAAAAAGTGCATTTTCCTCGTAAGGGTACACTTTTTTTACTCTTTTGAAATATGAAAAATAATAAAAAAGAGTAAAAAAAGTGTACCCTTACGAGGAAAACAGTCAAAATTAGTAAAAAAAAGTGCATTTTCCTCGTAAGGGTACACTTTTTTTACACTTTTGAAATCTGAAAAATAGAAAAAAAGAGTAAAAAAAGTGTACCCTTACGAGGAAAACAGTCAAAATTAGTAAAAAAAGTGCATTTTCCTCGTAAAGGTACACTTTCTTTACACTTTTGATATCTGAAAAATAGAAAAAAAGAGTTAAAAAAGTGTACCCTTACGAGGAAAACAGTCAAAATTAGTAAAAAAAGTGCATTTTCCTTGTAAGGGTACACTTTTTTTACTCTTTTGAAATCTGAAAAAAAGAAAAAAACAAAAGTAAAAAAAGTGTACCCTTACGAGGAAAACAGTCAAAATTAGTAAAAAAAGTGCATTTTCCTCGTAAGGGTACACTATTTTTATACTTTTGAAATCTGAAAAATTGTAAAAAAGAGTAAAAAAGGTGTCCCCTTACGAGGAAAACAGACAAAATTAGTTAAAAAAGTGTCTTTTCCTCGTAAAGGTACACTTTTTTTTACACTTTTGAAATTTGAAAAATAGAAAAAAAGAGTAAAAAAAGTGTACCCTTACGAGGAAAACAGTCAAAATTAGTAAAAAAAGTGCATTTTCCTCGTAAAGGTACACTTTCGTTACACTTTTGATATCTGAAAAATAGAAAAAAAGAGTTAAAAAAGTGTACCCTTACGAGGAAAACAGTCAAAATTAGTAAAAAAAGTGCATTTTCCTTGTAAGGGTACACTTTTTTTACTCTTTTGAAATCTGAAAAAAAGAAAAAAACAAAAGTAAAAAAAGTGTACCCTTACGAGGAAAACAGTCAAAATTAGTAAAAAAAAGTGCATTTTCCTCGTAAGGGTACACTTTTTTTACTCTTTTGAAATCTGAAAAATAGTAAAAAAAAGTAAAGAAAGTGTACCCTTACGAGGACAACAGTCAAAATTAGTAAAAAAAGCGCATTTTCCTCGTAAGGGTACACTTTTTTTACTCTTTTGAAATCTGAAAAATAATTAAAAAAGAGTAAAGAAAGTGTACCCTTACGAGGAAAACAGTCAAAATTAGTAAAAAAAAGTGCATTTTCCTCGTAAGGGTGCACTTTTTTTACAGTTTTGAAATTTGAAAAATAGTAAATCAGAGTAAAAAAAGTGTACCCTTACGAGGAAAACAGTCAAAATTAGTAAAAAAGTGCATTTTCCTCGTAAGAGTACACTTTTTTTATACTTTTGAAATCTGAAAAATAGTAAAAAAGAGTAAAACAAGTGTACCCTTACGAGGAAAACAGTCAAAATTAGTAAAAAAAGTGCATTTTCCTCGTAAGAGTACACTTTTTTTACACTTTTGAAATCTGAAAAATAGAAAAAAAAAAAGTAAAAAAAGTGTACCCTTACGAGGAAAACAGTCAAAATTAGTAAAAAAAAAGTGCATTTTCCTCGTAAGGGTACACTTTTTTTACTCTTTTGAAATCTGAAAAATAGTAAAAAAAAGTAAAGAAAGTGTACCCTTACGAGGAAAACAGCCAAAATTAGTAAAAAAAGTGCATTTTCCTCGTAAGGGTACACTTTTTTTACTCTTTTGAAATCTGAAAAATAATAAAAAAAGAGTAAAGAAAGTGTACCCTTACGAGGAAAACAGTCAAAATTAGTAAAAAAAAGTGCATTTTCCTCGTAAGGGTACACTATTTTTATACTTTTGAAATCTGAAAAATAGTAAAAAAGAGTAAAAAAGGTGTCCCCTTACGAGGAAAACAGACAAAATTAAATTAGTAACAAAAGTACATTTTCGTCGTAAGGGTACACTTTTTTTACTCTTTTGAAATCTGAAATAGTAAAAAAGAGTTTAAAAAAAGTGTACCCTTACGAGGAAAACAGTCAAAATTAGTAAACAAAATGCATTTTCCTCGTAAGGGTGCACTTTTTTTACTCTTTTGAAATCTGAAAAAAAAGTGTATCTGGAAAAAAATAGTGGAAAAAAAGTGTGAAAAAAGTGTACCCGGAAAAAAAATAGTGAAAAAAAGTGTGAAAAAAAAAGTGTGAAAAAAATGTACCTGGAAAAAAATAGTGAAATAAAAGTGTGAAAAAAGTGTACCCAGAAAAAAATAGTGAAACACATAGTGAAAAAAAAGTGTGAAAAAAATGTACCTAGAAAAAGAGTAGTGAAAATAAATAGTGAAAAAAGTGTACCTGGAAAAAGAATAGTGAAACAAATAGTGAAAAAAGTGTACCTGGAAAAATAAGGAAGAAACAAATGAAAAGAGTGTATGTGAGAAAAACGTGATCAAAAAAATTGACAACATGCGGGTACCTAACCAGATCGTCAAATTATAGACAACCTTGAACTCCTCGTGCTACATTACCCGTAACATACATACCCACTCCTTCGTCGCTAATACGTATGCTTTCCTACACGTAAACAACTTAAAAACAAACTTAAACAACTCAGACTTAAAAACTTCAAAACAGAGAACGGCTTTCAGCATGGATGAAGGATGCACGACGTATCTGCCAGAGTCTTAGGCTTCCTGAGTTGGCAACCTTTTGGTACATTTTGTTTTTACAGTTTTTGTTTGGGCACAGGTTCTGGTACAATTGTTTTTTTTACAGATTTTGTTTGGGCACAGGTTCTGGTACAATTTGTTTTTACAGTTTTTTTTACTAAATAATTGTTTTGACCACTTCCAACGGTTCCCTGGATAGCACTTCACAATGGTACACCCAATAAACCATCCCCAAAGGGATCCAAAATGGTATATAGTGTTTTTTGTTCTCTCTCCTGTTGGCATTGTTGGCTTCACCATTTTTCGGGGGCTGAAAATTCTTGGCTTTACCACATTAACATTCCGAGAGCTTCGGAAGCTCCAGTACTCAGTGAATGGTCAAGTGACCCTTGCCCCAAAAACTTCTCAGGATCACCACGGACTCGGGCTTCGTCTCTGAGGGTGGCAATCTCCCGAAGGAATTCGGTTCCTGCGCTGAAGGCGCAGGAACCGGGGTTGGTCCAAAACGATGGGAACCCCATGGAACCCCAACACATCCCCAAAACTATTACAAATCGTAGCTGTGCAAATCATGAGGTTTAAACTTGCAGCAAAAACCATCAAAAACCCGTCACCATGCAAAACACACCACACACACAAAAAAAACAAATGTTTAGTCATCTTTGCTTTCAGTTCTCTAAGGCTATCTGGTCATGGCCTTGCATATGCCAAAGTGACACTGAGGCAAGCACTGGCTTCTCTGAACTGATCTTGCAAGGTGTTGTGACGTTGCTTCGACTTTTCAATCTCTTCCTTTCAAGAAATGCAGTCATTGATTGCCTCATGACTCATGATTCATGAACCATGGCCGCAAAGCCAAGTCCTGCCTTCAATGGTTCCATCAAATCTTTCCAAACTGTTCTGATGGTCATCACTTTGGCCTTGCAGGCTGGGAAGGCACGGAATGTCATCCAGGCTGCCGAAATCACAACTACTGTCAACAAGCTCTGGAGCTTTCCAAGTATCTTCCAGTTCGAGCACATCGCATACGAGAAATGCAAATATATAGTATTGTATAGTTATATATACATAGCATGCAAATATAAATATACGTTGAATTAATGTAAAATATGTAGTATGTATGTTAAAATCAGAATATATAGATAGAAACGTAATATAACTGTAAGCATATATGTTATGTATATATATATATAAATTCACACACACATACACATACAATTATAATCAATTATATACATAATGCATCATAATGCATCATAATGCAGTATAGATAGACATAGTAACATAGCACAAGTACAACCACACCATGCACATATCATGCACCTCACGCCCGCCCCAGTACATCAGTACCTGGTGGAGGCTTCTGGCAGCTAGCTCGTGTAGGCTGCCATCTCCCTCATCCAGGAATGGTCGCATCAATTTGGACGTCCTCGCCATCACCGGCACGAACGAAAGGACCTTCCCCAGAAAGGCCGATTCAGCCTCTGTCAATGGATCTGCCAACCTGAGATATGGACGATGACAATGGATGTGTAGATCTTTGATTTAACATGATTTTGAATGATATGTATTGATATGTGATATATATATATCTGTGCGATCCCGGCAGCTACAACCAAGGGACTTCAGGTTTTTCATTGTAGACCTTTTTTGGTGGGTCTAAGATGGACTTGCCTGGGAGTAAACGTTAGATTTCGTTAAGTGTTCAGACCCTACCCTAGGGTTCTGGATCCAGGCCTCGGCAGGTGTTTCCAGTAGCATGTTAGCTGGCTAGGAACACTTTAGACCCTCAACCGCTAAGAACAGTTTAGACCCTCTGGTCCCTGGTCCCCCTATGTCCCCCCTCAGATTAAACCTCTGTTTTTTCCTCAGTAGGGGCGTCTACTCTACTTTGGGCTATCGCTTGATGCCATTATACTTTCTTCTTACTGCTGCATTTTGAAGACAAACACAGTCTCAAAGTTTCTGCGTCTTGGGGGTTTGTAGGGCCCGTGTCATTTGTGGTTGGCCATGCGACGTCTCCAATCATTTCTAGCATGCCTCATTTTGATCACCCATCCGTTGGAAGCAGCTAAGGAGGCCTGAGAATCATGTCAAAAGATTCATTTATCTGTGAAACATATGTTTTTTCAAAAGATTGTATTTGAGCAGAGTCTTTCGTGAAGGGCTGGGTAGGGTCTGATGGGTCTATGTTGATATTGCGTAGGTGTTTTCCTGGGGAATGGATACAATAAGGGCTAGGGAAATTCATTTTAGACGCAGTGAATTACAGCAGGTAAATATGTTGTCCTTTCTCTGGGGTCCAACAGATTCACTCAGTTCCATGTAGGTTTCTGAAAACATTTGAGAAATTTTATGGATATCTTATGATATATCCTTCTATCGGGTTTCATGTCAAATTTTCCCTCAACTCTGATGGGTCTATGTTGATATTGCGTAGGTGTTTCCTGGGGAATGGATACAATAAGGGCTAGGGAAATTCATTTTAGACGCAGTGAATTACAGCAGGTAAATATGTTGTCCTTTCTCTGGGGTCCAACAGATTCACTCAGTTCCATGTAGGTGTCTGAAAACATTTGAGAAATTTTATGGATATCTTATGATGTATCCTTCTATCGGGTTTCATGTCAAATTTTCCCTCAACTCTGATGGGTCTAAGTTGATATTGCGTAGGTGTTTTCCTGGGGAATGGATACAATAAGGGCTAGGGAAATTCATTTTAGACGCAGTGAATTACAGCAGGTAAATATGTTGTCCTTTCTCTGGGGTCCAACAGATTCACTCAGTTCCATGTAGGTTTCTGAAAACATTTGAGAAATTTTATGGATATCTTATGATATATCCTTGTATCGGGTTTCATGTCAAATTTTCCCTCAACTCTGATGGGTCTATGTTGATATTGCGTAGGTGTTTCCTGGGGAATGGATACAATAAGGGCTAGGGAAATCCATTTTAGACGCAGTGAATTACAGCAGGTAAACATGTTGTCCTTTCTCTGGGGTCCAACAGATTCATTCAGTTCCATGTAGGTTTCTGAAAACATGTGCGGAAATATATGGATATCTTATGATACATCCTTCTATCGGGTTTCATGTCAAATTTTCCCTCAACTCTGATGGGTCTATGTTGATATTGCGTAGGTGTTTTCCTGGGAAAGGATGCAATAAGGGCAAGGGAAATCCATTTTAGACCCAGTGAATTACATCAGGTAAATATTTTGTCCTTTCTCTGGGGTCCAACAGATTCACTCAGTCCCAGGTAGTTCTGAAAACATTTGTGGAAGTATATGGATATCTTATAATATATCTTCTACTGGGTTTCATGTTAAATTTTCCCTCAACTCTGATGGGTCTATGTTGATATTGCGTAGGTGTTTTCCTGGGGAATGGATACAATAAGGGCTAGGGAAATCCATTTTAGACGCAGTGAATTACAGCAGGTAAACATGTTGTCCTTTCTCTGGGGTCCAACAGATTCATTCAGTTCCATGTAGGTTTCTGAAAACATTTGTGGAAATATATGGATATCTTATGATATATCCTTCTATCGGGTTTCATGTCAAATTTTCCCTCAACTCTGTCTGATGGGTCTGTGTTGATATTGCGTAGGTGTTTTCCTGGAAAAGGGTGCAATAAGGGCTAGGGAAATCCATTTTTGACGCAGTGAATTCCATCAGGTAAGTGAAATAGTTGTGATGACGTAGATTAAAGGATTAAAGTAGAGTAGACGTCCCTGCTGCATGTTTGGGCATGTCGCAGCTAGAACCAGGTATTTGACTCATTTGACCCTTCCGAATTCAATCTGAAGCTTTGGAGATTTGGCTGGAAAATCTCCCTGTCCTTCACTGCGAAGGTCCAACATGATCCCATCCAGAGGGTGCGAAGGTCTAACATGATCCCAAAAGGCTAAGGTCTAACATGGTGTTACCAGTCCTTACTTATATATAGTCAAAAGGTCTTAAGTGATCCCGGGCCAAGGTCTAAACTGATCAAAAAACCATTCTAGACCTTGAATTTTTGGACCTGTAGGCAGACCATTCCAGACCCTCTTGTACCTGAGGGTATTCTGTGCGTGTGTAGGTCAAGATTTTGAAATGCCCATCGCAAACTGACTGCGTTTTCCGCCCTGAGGAAGCTGCTTGCGGGCGCTCATTCTCGCGACTGAACTGCATGAAGACCTCCGCAATTTGGCTCGGGAGGAGTGAGTCGCGGCTGAAATCTACCCATCCGCATGTTTGATGTGTGTGAAGCCTCCGGCGATGACGACCCAATGATAAGAGGCGCAGCACTATCAGCAACTTGCGCACCTTTGCGACAGGGGAATGGTTGGGATGCAATGGCACCAATGGAACTGGCCTCTTGCCCATCCGATTTGTCATGAACCACAGGGTCGGCACGTCGGCACGGTTGCAGCTGCATATCTACGGAGGAGAAGTGGTCATAAGTGGTCTGGCCAAACTGACTAAAATCATCTGAAAATATCTGAAATCTAGATGATTATAGATGAGGCTTGGCTTACCCTGGCATGTTCGTGAGATTTCGTGAGCATGTTTCCTTCTGCAGCTGAGCTTCTCGTGGCTTCAAGCCGCGCGGCTTCACGTAGGCACGCATTCTGAGCATGTAGCTTCCATCCATTGATGCCCTTGGAGAAGCCCAGGGCAAAAAGGAAATAGTCACGTTCATGAACAGTCCATGTTTCATCATTCTGCGCACGCCGGTATTCCTTCAATGGATGCATTAGAATTCCTATTGCTGGTCGGTGCTATCCGATTGCAATGTCATCGTGTGATCAGATTGATTTCTCATGATTCCATTCTGAAGAAGAAAACTCTACAACAACATGTGAGACTGAACTACCTAAAGATCTGTAGAATGTCAATAGTCGACCAACAGAACTCTCACAACTCAGCCCAGAAACCGCCTCTCAGACATGTAATCCTGGGTTGACATGCTGGCTTGTCCAGCACCCTAGAAACATGGCTGCATTTGGCGGAAACTGGAGCTTGGTGGAAACTGGAGCCTGGATAGGATTGCGGCCAAATGCGAAACCACTAAAGCATGTGAAATGCAGACTGCATCGGACTGCAGCAAATGCAATGTCACCAACATACCAACGGTCTTGAAGAATCGCAATGGCTCTATTGTGAGAGTTCTTGAGGCTCAGCACACAGATTCAAACGGTCGGAGGGACTTGATCTTCAAATTCACGGCAGTGCTCTCGCTCGAACCTGCTCTTGTGTCGGTTTTCGGCTGTACATTCCAGGTGGGACATCTGCATCCTCTGTCATCGTCAAAACATGGTTTGAGTATGGGGGCATAGTCATCTCAACATCATCACGCATGGGATATTGATGGATATCGTAAGCCCTATAAATGGATATAAATGGATTGATAACCATGCCCCAAGAACTGCGCAACTTCATCACCCAAGTTTTGACCATGGTATCCATTGGTATCCATGGTTCATGTGATTTCAATGTGTTGTTCACCAAGCCTGCGCAGAGTCTCAATGAAGACTGGGTCATTGATGCAGTGCATCATCACCTGGAAGCAATAGTTCATGTCGTACGCCATCGCCTTCGACAGGAGATGCCCCAAAATCCCCCAAAAGGGAGATTTGGAGGGTGGCAGCAAAGGTTGGAGTCTGGGTTTGTCACCTTTGGCGTAGCTCCTGATGATAAAGCATGATAAGGTGTTTTTTTTCAACCGAGGCAATGCTTCAATGCTTTGGAATAGGGCAACCTATGGCAATCTGGTTTGTGGTTTGACCATGTTTGACCCCATTCGACTGTTCCTAGGGCTGGAAACTAGATGAGACCAGCCGGAAAATGCCGGAAACACCTGGAAACTCATTGGTGGGTTCTGATATGTTCTGATTGACCAAACTGGACCAGTGACGCGGGATCTTGACTGGGCCTAGCTGAGCTGGAAAGGATAACCTATGACTATTAGAGGGCAGGAAAGAAGAAGGCAGTAGGCAAAAAACTTCATGCATATATACTCCGAAAGAAAAAATGGGCATGGGATGAAACACCTCGTAAGTCACTTCCTTCCGGTTTGATCCGGAAAACTTTAGCACCTCCAATGACAGAAAGTGGCACGCTCCAGCTCTGAGCCGAGTGGTGCTTTGGGGCCAATGGCTGTGCAGGCTTCATTTGCATTCATTTGCTTCATCTCTTCAATGCCTCCGGGATCCTCCGGGACCGCCCTGCTGATCCGATCAAGTCTGAGCAACTCGTTTTCAGATTGTGGCACGCTCAAGGACTGTACAGCTTAGGAGCGCTCAAGACTGTACATTGGACCACGGCTGCGCTGTTGCCTTAGACAACTTGCAGCCTGGCAACGAAGCCTAGCTACAGCAGCCCCAAATGGGCTGCACTAAACTGATTTCTCCATCCATCTAGTGATGTCTAGTGCTTCTTGCTGCGGGCAGCCAATCGAGCCAAGAATTTGGATTGCTTTGCTTTCGGCTTCGCAGCCTTCGGATCCTTGGGCTTTTCAGGTTCGAGCTGCCCTGCTTTCCCCTTCACCTTTTGTGCTTTCAAGGCGACAGGATTGGGGGCGACTGGTGCTGGAACCACTGCTGGAAAACGCCCTGGCCCAACTGCCCCAAGGCCTCTGGCGGTCTTCCAGGAACCAACTGCCAGAAATATAGGCACTACAAAAGCTGGATCCATGACCACCATGGCATCCCCTACGTGGTGGACTTGTTTGTCACAATCCAGCACTGCACATACCAACATGGAGGGGTCGCTGCAAAATCCTTGTGACAGGTACGCGGCATCGACATTTGCTGTGTAGATTCCTCTGCCATGTGCTGCACCGTGTACGATTTTCAAATCGGCACCCAAACCAAATCCAGGAATCAAAAGGCCTCGATCCAAAATCGAACCATAGTTCTTGGAGTCAGTGCCGTGAAAGGCTGGTCGCATCTCTCCAACGCCATGCTTGGAAATCTGATGGAAAAAGCGGTCTTGAACCTGCTTGGACAGTTTCGCTTCCCTTAATTCGACATTCTCAAGCACCGACTCCAATCCCTCCAAGACTACAGGGCCAAATTGGTGCTCAAAGTGGTCCACTAGATCTTGGAAGCTGTTGGAACCTTGTGACAGAGAGAACGCCAATTCTGCTTGCCTCTTGTCTCTTTCCCGTATTTCTTCTGCCTTCTGAGCTGCCAGTTCCGCCAGTTCCACTGGCAGCGGAGGTCGCCTCTTGGCCATTCGCACCACGCGGCGCTCGCAGTCAAAACAGGACGCGCCCGGATGCGGTGGAGACCTGCAGACTCCACAGAAAGACAGGTGACATTTGAAGCAGTGGCACCTGCTGTACTCCGAGGAGTTGTTGCTGGGTTGAACCAGTACCGGGATGTCCTGCACAAAAATATCAGATATCAGAATTGAGATCATGCAGTACGACAGGGTTTCTGGAGTTGTGATGCTGCACATCGAAAGGCATCTCATTGCAAATGCAATGCAAACATGCCCTGTCCATACCACGATCTTCACAACGCGGGCAGAAGACAATGGAGTCCTGATCAGCCAGTTGATTCTCCCCTACTGATTCCTGAACCATCTGGTAATATCTGGTAATCTTCACGAAAAGACGGTCCTGGAAGCGCGTGGTCACTTTGTGCTTGGATACTTTCAACCATAGCTCCAGGGTGCAGTCCCCCAGCCGAGTGGCCAAAGTTCGGCAGGTCGGCAGGGGGCATCGTGGATGGCTCCCCTGAGAACTGTAGACTTGCCAAGTGCTGGACGAGCAGTTTCCACAAAGCCAATGGCCACATGCCCGGAGCTTCACTGTCGCAGAACAAGGTGCCACACAGTTGGCGCAAATGGCTTCAGTCTCACTTTCCGGTCCGGATTCGGGGATATCATTAAAGTCAATGGAGTCCGATGAAGTTTCTCGTGCAATTGAGGGAACTTCTTGATTCACAGGTGGGTGGAGAAGGCCGTTTGATTCTGTTCGCAGCCATTCAATCCTTGGATACTTGGAGCGCGATGATTTCCCAAAGACTACCATCACAGCCAGCAGACCCTTCTTGCTTACAAGAAAAGTACCATCAAATGGGCCATCATACAAACCGCCACAAACTGCCAGCCCTGCTGCAAATGAAGCACCAGCTAAAGAGCACTGGGGACTCTGTCACAGAGTCCAAGTGTTCATGCAGCAATCTGAGCCGATCTTGTGACACGGTCTGTGATGTCAGCCTCAAACGCACAGAAGTCAAGGGGGGATCGGGGGGATCTACCGCACAAAATGTGGCAGTGATGGAGTGACGGAGCAACAATAAAAACAAGGTTAGAGGATTCCAAACATCAATGGATTGACATAATATATTTTTTTGTTATATTAATGATCGATACAATAGGATCATCTACAGGAAATCAGTGTTGTTACCATCAAATGTAGAGGTTTCCTGCAGATTTCCCTTCATCCTTCATCCAATTCACTTCACCAAGACCTTAAAAACTCCAGCGAAAAGCTTCACAGAACTCACCAAGAGTCTCATAAAGGGGCCGTGCACTGTCCAATTCCAGGTATTGCTCAAGCAGCCTTGGCCCGGACTTTCCCGGCCCAGGTCTCCAAAAGATCAAAACTGCAAAATGTACGTAAGTAAATCGTATAGATCAAGACGGCATATCATGAATGATTATTCATTCATGAATGTCTGCCATTAGGGTGTCAGACATCACCTGCTCTGCATCCTGCAACTGTGTCACTCTAGGTATCACTAGGTATACTGCGATACACTCAGGGCCGCTGCCCACAACCGAGCAGCGTGATTTTCATCTCAATTTTGTGCTGAGCGGAAATGGCCACCTTCAAGTTGACGATGGGCAGCCCATCCTCACGCTGTTCGTCCAACTGAGGAAGTTGCAATTTTACCTGGTCGCTGTCTTCATAGATGCACCGGAGAGAGTACAGCTCTTCCTTCTGTTCATAGTTCATTGCGCTAGGGAGGATTGAACTTCGTGGCAGCGACCACTTTAGGATAATCAAGGGATATCGAGGGTCTATCCCACCACCACCATAGCACCATATCCTACCCGAGCGCAGCTGGCTGCGACTTTTCACCGTTGATGATCAGCGGTCTGATTCAACAGTGTGATGCTTGGTTCATCTTAGCTCTATTGAGGTTGGCAGGATGTTTTCAGCCAACAGGAGCTGTTGGGAGAGCAAATCACAGACCCATTTCTCTCAACGGACACCATGGTCCTATATGGTCCTTGTTCATTGATTTTCTCCTCCTGGCAGCCCATCTAGTTGATGCATTCAACTTTGGAATGATATTCGTTTGTTCTGGACCAGTCAACGGTCAGAAGGCTTTTCCTTCTTGGCTGCTGCTTGTCACAGATGAGAGGCAGCAGCTGATTGACGCTGATGTGGTTGCTGCCAACAAAAAAATCGAGGGGGGGATCGTGTGATCTTGGGCTTGGCCTTTTCAAACAAAGAAACACTAGAAATCAGTAAATGCCGATATATGCCGATATGCACAGAGTCAAACCTGAAGGCTACAAGAAGCCATCACTCAAAAGGTCAGACGGTTGTTGAAGGAAGAAGTAATTGACCCCTCTTTCCCTTGCTACCAAAGTTCTCTCACCATTTATGTCTCTCTAGGCTTCACGTTTCAACACCACCTGTTTCGACAGCACTAACTTTGGCTAGGCTGGCGAGGTGGCTCAGTGGCTAAGCACGAAAATAATTGGATACTCAAAGCAGATGTGTCGCACCAGTGCGGATTCAAAGATCATGGAAGAGCAACACAACGGTTATGCACCCTTAGGCCATATGTGGCTTCACTGCCTCAATGTGAACTTGTGGCCAGTATGAAGTGCTTTTCAGCTTTTCCTAGCAGGTACAGTACGCTGCGTACGTTTTTCTTTTAGAAGGCCACAAGATTTGTATCGTGTTGGAAAGTTGAGCCTTCTTTCCAAGCAGCGTCACTCAGTTGCACACTTTAAATCTGAGTCAGAGGAGCTTCGCAGAAAATACCTGCCACATGATGCAGAGCAATGCATCAGTGGTAGTGGCGCACAATGGCGCACAGCCTTGTGAGCAGCACATCCTTTGTTTCACCGGGGTGCCTCCCGTAGCCATTGGTCTTGAGTGGAATTGGAGCAACCTTGGCAAAACTCAACAAACATCACCGAACTCTCATAGAAAATGAAGCAAGGCAGCTGAGATTGGCTGGATTCTAATGGTTGTACCTGCCTTAAGGGTTTTACCCCTCTCCGAACTTGTCCTGCTGATGGCTCTGGTGAGGGAACTTGCTGCTCAGGCCTGGGCAGGGTACGGCTGCCACGGTGGCACGGTATGCCACGGTGTCAGGATGCGCAACGCCGTGTCTTTTTCACACCCGTCGCACTGCGTAGACGCCGGAGGGGCCGAAACTCATTTCAACTGGAATCTTCGCATGTCCTCAGCGCAACGTAGACTCGTCATGACTCGTCATGACTCGTCGACCCACAAGAAACCGCTTGGGCCCGCTGGGGTGGTCTCAATCTTGGCTCCGGGCCGCTGTGGAAGATGCGCTGAAGACCAGGAACTCCATCTCCGAAAAACGGATCCATGGTCCTTGGCAGCACAACCAGGAGCTGTTGAAAAATTGTCCCAAAATGTCCCAAAAATAACTGATAAAATTACCAAGGCGCATTGCCTATCTACTCTACCCCAAAACATCCCAAAGCCAATTATCATCCACTGGCTGAGGCAGGGTCAGGATGCGTGCTCCGGGTTGGAGAGTGAGCACCCGCTGCAGGATGTCCGCCAGGGTCTCAGGCCTATTGGTTGCAGCTGGGGGATAAACATGGATAAACAAAGTCACAGTCTCTAACATTGCCCAATTTCCGTGGCAAGAACGATGCATCAATCCACCACAAGCCATCAAAAATCAAGTTTCACATATATGACAATTCATCTTTAGCTATTGATGGGTAGTATTCATCCAACAAAAATCATCCAATCCATTCATCATCCCCACCTCATGCATAGGGATGCCACCCAAACAATGTCCCAGGGATGCTGCTCCCAAGCACTCGTCGTAAAACTTTCCAGCCGCAGATCCACTGGCGCCAGGGCTTGCCTGTGTGGTGGGCAGCCCACAGGGATTGTGTTGTAGGCATGTCTGGATCTATAAATCCCTTTTTCAACATGTCACACTAGATACGCACACGCACACAAACACACATACAGACACATGTGACATGTGCACATGTGCATATATATATGTATATATATAGTATGCTGTTTTTTTTTAGTATGTACAATACAAAAACATGTGCATATAAAAACAATTAAAAACACATACTTATGCTGTTTTCTCTATTAATTATGATACACGTAATTAGGCAATTAATCATCATACACACCCATGATTTGCAATCAAGTGTCCCTGCAGAAGCGCACTGCTGCGCGCAAGCTGCTGATGCACTTTGGGCGGTCTGATGCAGTGGCTCAACTATCTCGTAACCTGTTCACAGGACTCCGGCCCGAAGACAGCGAACATCTTCCGTCAATCTGCCCCATCTGAGTTTTCAAAATCCGAATGTACCGTGATATGCCCCAAATTATCCCAAATTGCCAGCCAACTGCCAAAAGGATGATAGTAATTGAGAATCCCTTGAATATATCTTTGGATATCCTTGGGGATCTTAGGGGTACCCTATTTTCATCTATTTTCAAACACACATATTAGCTGCATATTAGTCACATATCAAACCTGGAAACATCCCTGTAGCCTGTGCAACAAGCCAAGGAGGGAAATGCCAGAGCTGCAGCAATCACAGCTCGCCCAGTGCCGCTGCCAAGGTCCAAAAAGGTTTCTCCTATCAGGTCGCGGCACAGTCCTATACTTTCTGTTCCCCCTCAGACTCCCACCATTGTCTACTAAGTTTTAGACAACCTGAGAACTTCGGATCACTTCGGATATGAGATGCCCTGCTTCATGTGGAACAAATATAAACCAATAGAATCCAATAGATGTAATTTGATATAATTTGATCATATTTGATCTTCACTAAAAACTTCGCAAAGTGCTCAACGAAGAATCTCCTGGCTGAGGCTGTGCGACCTGTGCCAGCAAGTCATAAAAAGGGGCAAACTCGATTTCAGCATAGGTCAGCTCAATGCTCGAGCTACCTGTTGCCTCCTCAGCTATGGCCCTGCCATCTATGGCACCATACGCAGCATAGAACGCCGCATATGAAAAATGGAGCTCCGAGGGTAGCCAAGTTGTCTCATGTTCGAAGCTGAGCTGAGCGCTACACTTCTGTCCAGACTGGGAATCTATCTTCAATTCCTCAAAGACAACTGCTGCACTATGAGCTACTGCGCTAGGTCTGAAAGTCTCAGTCGCCGTGAGAACCCAAATGGCAACTGTTGAGCTGGACTCGGGCCACAGATGCGTCTGAATACGACATCGCCATCCACTGGAGGGGCCAACGTTGACTGTCGACAGCCATTGGAAATTTGGTGTCTGTCCAGGCTGGTCGCCAGGTGCTGTCATGGACACCCCCAGGAAAATGCCAGCAGTTGGTGGCCTTTGGCTTCGTAAAACGTCCAGCAATAAACAGCCCCGCTGCTTGGGGATTTCACTTACCAAGACTGGGACGACACCGCTATTCCCCACATTAAGTTCCATCACTTCACCAGGGCTGAGTTGATGAATGACTGCCTGTCCCAGGAAGTCTTGGAGATCAGGCTGAAGAGAGTCATTGAGAGCCGAGGCCAAGGGCATGTGTACATAAAGCTGGTCACCAAGACCCACCACTGCCCAACCCCAGAATCCTTGATGCACGGAAGCTAAGCACTGGGTTTCTGCAGTTTCCCCTATGCTCAATTTCAGAGGAGCAACAAAGCCCTCAGAGATTTGCTGGTCCAAGTCAGGGCGAGGGATAGAAAGAATATCATCATACAGTTCTTTCAATGCTTCCCTTCCAACTCTGGCACGCTCTTGTGCTAAAACATGAAACCAAAGTCGGTTTGCCTCTTCTGAGCCCCGGATCTGATACTTGGCCTCGAACCAATCCAATCCACCACAGTTGATGTAGTGCAAGAGCGACACCACCCCAGGGTGGCAAACGACGGTTTGCAGGTCCCCATGCCATCGGTGAACTCTAGGAACAGCGCTGTCCAAAGCTTTCACACGAACTGCAGCTTTGCCTCTCATGTATCCATCAAAGTAGGAGCAGGTGTTTCCACCACTCCTTTTCTTAAAATTGTACTGATCCGATAATCGTGCATTGTGTGCTTGCCAAAAGCGCAGGGTCTTTTCACCAATCCCTTCAGGATGGTCTAGGATTTGTGGCTCCTCATCAGATGGGAACCTTCGTCCTATAAAGGGCAGCTTCAGGACGGGAGAGATCTTGAAGTGCTCGATTTGGTCAAACCACGTTGTTTGACTGCCGGTTTCAGCGTCTGCAACGATGGCCTCATGATTTATGTACACAATCTGAGACACCTCGGCAGGCACGGCATGAAAATGCTGTGCCACACCACCTGCGCTAAAGCAAACGGCTTCATCCAGGTCCAGGTTGCAAAGCAGCCAGTCCACTCCCGAACGGCAGGCGATGCTCTGAGCCGTTGCGCAGTTTAGGATCTGTTTCCTGCCAGCAGTATCCAGCAGTCCGGGCAAAGGACGTGATGTTACCTGATATTTACATGTACCATGTGATACAATACATGATAATTATTGATAATTGCTACATAGTAAACATATTATATATATTACTACATGCTCCTACTAAGCCATGAAATAAGCATGTGGGTAAAGCTTGCTGCCATTAGGATCACACATCTTCACAACCCTTCTGCTGGTAACTGTAGTGCTGTTGACGTTGAGACAACTAACCCTATCACTCAAAGCTTTCTGACCTTAAAACCTCTGCGGTCTACAGTAGGGCGGTACAGGGGGTTAGTGTAAAGCTAGACCATGGTCCTCTACATGCATAAACATAGTCATTACAGTAATCCTCATGCCTGACAGTGCCGCTGCCATGACCTGTAAAGGATTGTATAAGTGTTCACGCCCTTGCGCAGGTGCTGTCTTTGCATCTGCAGGGATAGAAACAAATAAACATCGAACAAATATTGAAAAGGTGTATAGATAGACAAGTGCTGCAAGCTTTAAAACTCTACCGATTTGAAAGCAAGCGTCGCTGACAGTTCAGAGTCAGTCTGACCACCAAACTCATCCCACAAAGATCCATGCTGGCGCCAAGCCGCTCGCATCTCTGACCGTCTGACTAAGTGAAGTGAATCGAAACTCGCCAAAGCGGAAGCCAAAGACTCCTCTTTGTTTTCATCCGGCTCATCCAAAAACAGAATAATCGGAGAAAATCCCAGTGCACAGTGGTGCCGTAGCCATCTCACTGTGGTCTCCAGTACTTGAGGCCATGGATACCCCGTCAACCGCAGGGTGGATGAGATGCCGCAGCTGCCGCAGCTGCCACGGCTCCCAGGGCTCCCATCAGCGACCTGCGGAGCGACCTGCGGCACCCAGGCCTCGATGACTTCATGGCCCTCGGCCCGGATCTTCGCCTCGCCAGGCTGCGCCCCACGGTGCTTGCAGCGCTCCAGGACGGCCAGGTCGCGGAAGCCGGCGCTGCAGGCGGCATCGCCCAAGGTGACCTTGGCCTCATTGACCAAATCCAGGATTTCCAGTAAACCTCAGAGGACTCAGCAAAGATACTAAGCCACGTGAGATGATGTATATAAAACATTATAATTAAAACAATAAGCTACGAGTAGATACGAGTAGTAATCACAAACAATAACCGACCTATAGCCTCTCACATGTTTGTGCTCAGGGACATTCATTGGCACACTGCATTCTCTGATTCATGGCCGAGCGCGCTTCCGCAACGCTGTTGTTAGCAGATTGCAAGGCGGCAAGGCCAACATCCTGCGAGGAAAAATCTGGAATGTTTGATGTTGATCCATACTGGCATAGATTGGCATAGTATGTTTTAATGAGCATCAATAAGCCAGGGATCATGAAGGGCCCCTACACTCCTGGCGAGCGCGCAAATGCTGCACATTGCGGTCCTTGGTGGTCAAAAAAACTATGAAGCGCTGGAGCGAATTAAGACAAAGCAGCAAGTAGGTTAAATCAGAATCTAGAAAATACTATACAATCAAATCAAATACTGTAATACTTAGATTTGGGTGATTTGGATATACTTGGATTCGTTCAAGGCACTTTCAACAGCTATCAAAATTCATCAAACTGATAAACCGAGTCCAGCCGCCAGCAATCCAGCTTTCTCTCGCAAGTCTGCGATACGCTCGCGTAAGGAGACGCTCTGCCGTGGGGCCTCATGCTGATCCTCAACCACTGCCTCATGGTGGTTGAGCAACCCCATGAAGAATAGGACAGTCGTCATCATCATCACCACCATCATCATCATCATCATCATCTTCATCTTTTTGGTATGGTGGAAACATGTTGAACATAAAAACCATTTGAAACCACCATCCAGCCCATGATGTTTGGCTACGGTTGTGCCTGTTTGAAAAATGTTCGAAGCTCAACTTCCAGAAGTCCCTGTTCGCCCTTCAGATGCACTGCCAAACATCTGGTTGAACACATTCAGCCATAGCTGGATCCCAAAAAAGTCATCTGACCCAGAAAAACGCATACATACGATCACATACGTGTGTGAGTATATATATTAAATTATTCACTACAATATGTATATAGTTCGGGAACCCAAGTCAGTGGAATTCAAAGCTTTGCCGCAGCTGGATTCAGCTTCAATGAGCAAGAAAGGAGTTGTATATAATATGTCAATGTATGTACGTACGTATTTGATACTATATGTGTGTATAAGTTAGTAAATACTTACCCTCTGGTTATGACTAACATAGCCATGGTATAGATGGCCCATAGAAATAGATGCTTCACCGAACTTAACAATGGTGATTTTCCCATATTTTCCATGGTTATGTTAAATAACCAGAGGGTACTCCTGGTGCCTCTTGGCACTCTGGCGTTGGAGCCGCCTGGGGATGGTGCAAAAAATGGGCTCCAAAATCACCTTTGTGATCAAAAATGGCTGGAAAATGTCCATGTTCAATATGATTCATAGGCAACACATGGTAAAAAAACATGGTAAAACATCAACCATGATGGTAGAACATCAACTATATGGTATTCAGATGTATTCAATTTTGTGGTCAAAAGCAATCAGGAAAGCCCAAAATCTCAATGATACAGCCAAATCGGAATCAAATATCCTGTATCATCATGTATCTGACAATTTCAATTCCAATTTCTATTCTATTCTATCTATCTCTATCATGAAACGCCTTGGGGTTCCATTGCCATTGTCTGTTTGTCTGTTCCCTGGCCTCCGGTCCCTCCGGTCCCTCCGGCTCCGCCGGGCGCGGCGGCCGAGGTGGTGGCACGAAGACCGGCAGCAGCGGCCGCAGGTCGGCGAAGGGCACGTCGGACTCGTTGGAGCCATCGAAATAGGCGAGGTCCACCAGCCTGGCGCCGGGCCCAGGAACCTCAGGAATCCCAGGGATTCCTGGGGTTCCTGGCCGAGGCTAAACCTTGACCCTGACAGAACCCAGAAAAGTGGCCATGGTTGCGATTCGAAACTATGATAAACCATGGGTGTTTTAGGGTTTTTCTGAAGATCTATGGATGTTTTAGGGTGAACATGTCGTGTTTTGGAGGCAATCATCTTGAACCATACCCAAATGGATTGGAGGGCCATGTGGCCAATTGCGTTCATCATGGTTTATCATTCAAAATAAAGAATGAGCAACATGTTTGAAACAGCCAACGACGTAAAAAAAAAGAAACCCACCCTCCATCTTTCACTTTGCACACGCGACCACGTATCCAAATGTTGCCTCAGAGCATGTGCAGGGTTGCGATATGGCGATGCTAATTAATTACATATATATGGATACATATGGTGTCCATAGTGTTCTTGCAATTCATTGTCATGCATTTGCTTGACAAAATCAGTCATGTCAACCCCTGAGGAATGATTAATGATTCATAAACTCTGCATAACTCTGCTTATCCCTGGCTGATTTATTCGGACTAACCCCCGCAAATCGTGAATTTTATTTGGTGCAAGGATGTCACCCCAATGATCAACAGCCGGGTTGCCGATGTCATCCAACTCCCGTTCCACATCGGCACCCTCTACCAACCAAGCTGTCACGGAGTCCATGGCATACCAACTGGCATGCCATCCATGGCAAGGTCCAGGAACGAGTGGCACAATACCAACTTGGGGTCGGAGAATATGGATGTCTCTGCCTCCCAGTTGGATCTAGCATGATCTAGCTGCGTCAAAGTAACAGTAAGTGTTTGTTGCTGGACTGGTTCCAACATGTACTTTTTGCGGATGTCAATCATAGATGTTCGTAGTCTGTTAGCGACTCTCAAAGTTGGCTGATTCTGCAGCTGCTATGGGGCTCTATGTCAAAACATGTCAAGCTTGTCTTGTTGCATTGTCTTGTTGCATTGTCTTGTTGCATGATGCTTTGAAACCGTAATTTCTTCTTTGCTCACTCAGGCTACAAGTAAGAACATCTGAGAGCGGTTCAGCCTTCGACTAATATCCATAAACATCAAAAACCAGCCATTTCCGCCGACCCCGGCCTTGGCCAAGGCAGGGGCGGCGCCTGGGACCACCGCAGGTGTGGAACTTCTCCTTCTGCGCTTTCCAAGGTCAAACCCATCTCGCAGCCAGCAAGCTGCCCCAAGGCCACATCGCGTAAACATTTTCCTGCCATGCTTCGACCTCCAGTTAAGACTTCCAGGCATTTGGACATGAATGCCTCATCCTGCAGCCAACAGCCACCCCGAGGCCACACATCAATGGCTTCTTATGGGCCGCTTAAACAATCCCTTGGCATGCTTCATCCTGCAGCCAACAGGCACCCCAAGGCCACACATCAATGGCTTCTTATGGGCGTCCAAGCCTGCCGTTTGCCAGCCCTTAAACCCCCCAAACCCTCCAAACCCTCCAAACCCTTAAAAACCTTAAAACCCTTAAAACGCTGACTTGGCAACCCTCCCCCAATGCTTTGGGAAACCCTTAAAACGCTGACTTGGCATGCTTCATCCTGCAGCCAACAGCCACCCCGAGGCCACACATCAATGGCTTCTTCTGGGCCGCTTAAACAATCCCTTGGCATGCTTCATCCTGCAGCCAACAGGCACCCCAAGGCCACACATCAATGGCTTCTTATGGGCGTCCAAGCCTGCCGCTTGCAAGCCCTTAAACCCTCCAAACCCTCCAAACCCTCCAAACGCTCCAAACCCTTAAAAACCTTAAAGCCCTTAAAACGCTGACTTGGCAACCCTCCCCCAAGGCCACACATCAATGGCTTCTTATGGGCGTCCAAGCCTGCCGTTTGCCAGCCCTTAAACCCTCCAAAACCTCCAAACGCTCCAAACCCTTAAAAACCTTAAAACCCTTAAAACGCTGACTTGGCAACCCTCCAAACCCTTAAAAACTTTAAAACCCTTAAAACGCTGACTTGGCAACCTTCCCCCAAGGCCACACATCAATGGCTTCTTATGGGCGTCCAAGCCTGCCGTTTGCCAGCCCTTAAACCCTCCAAACCCTCCAAACCCTTTAAAACCTCCCTTAAAACGCTGACTTGGCATGCTTCATCCTGCAGCCAACAGCCACCTCAAGGCCACACATCAATGGCTTCTTATGGGCGTCCAAGCCTGCCGTTTGCCAGCCCTTAAACCCTCCAAACCCTCCAAACGCTCCAAACCCTTAAAAACCTTGAAACCCTTAAAACGCTGACTTGGCAAACCTCCCCCAAGGCCACACATCAATGGCTTTTTATGGGCGTGCAAGCCTGCCGTTTGCCAGCCCTTAAACCCTCCAAACCCTCCAAACCCTCCAAACGCTCCAAACCCTTAAAAACCTTAAAACCCTTAAAACGCTGACTTGGCAACCCTCACCCTTAAAAACCTTAAAACCCTTAAAACGCTGACTTGGCAACCCTCCCCCAAGGCCACACATCAATGGCTTCTTATGGGCGTCCAAGCCTGCTGTTTGCCAGCCCTTAAACCCTCCAAACCCTCCAAACCCTTAAAAACCTTAAAACGCTGACTTGGCATGCTTCATCCTGCAGCCAACAGCCACCCCGAGGCCACACATCAATGGCTTCTTATGGGCCGCTTAAACAATCCCTTGGCATGCTTCATCCTGCAGCCAACAGGCACCCCAAGGCCACACATCAATCGCTTCTTATGGGCGTCCAAGCCTGCCGTTTGCCAGCCCTTAAACCCTCCAAACCCTCCAAACCCTCCAAACCCTTAAAAACCTTAAAACCCTTACAACGCTGACTTGGCATGCTTCATCCTGCAGCCAACAGCCACCCCGAGGCCACAAAACGCTGACTTGGCAACCCTCCCCCAAGGCCACACATCAATGGCTTCTTTTGGGCGTCCAAGCCTGCCGTTTGCCAGCCCTTAAACTCTCCAAACCCTCCAAACGCTCCAAACCCTTAAAAACCTTAAAACCCTTAAAACGCTGACTTGGCAACCCTCCCCCAATGCTTTGGGAAACCCTTAACACGCTGACTTGGCATGCTTCATCCTGCAGCCAACAGCCACCCCGAGGCCACACATCAATGGCTTCTTCTGGGCCGCTTAAACAATCCCTTGGCATGCTTCATCCGCAGCCAACAGGCACCCCAAGGCCACACATCAATGGCTTCTTATGGGCGTCCAAAGCCTGCCGTTTGCCAGCCCTTAAACCCTCCAAACCCAAACCCTCCAAACGCTCCAAACCCTTAAAAACCTTAAAACCCTTCAAACGCTGACTTGGCAACCCTCCCCCAAGGCCACACATCAATGGCTTCTTATGGGCGTCCAAGCCTGCCGTTTGCCAGCCCTTAAACCCTCCAAACCCTCCAAACCCTCCAAACGCTCCAAACCCTTAAAAACCTCAAAACCCTTAAAACGCTGACTTGGCATGCTTCATCCTGCAGCCAACAGCCACCCCAAGGCCACACTTTAATGGCTTCTTATGGGCGTCCAAGCCTGCCTTTTGCTAGCCGTTAAACCCTCCAAACCCTCCAAACCCTCCAAACGCTCCAAACGCTCCAAACCCTTAAAAACCTTAAAACCCTTAAAACGCTGACTTGGCAACCCTCCCCCAAGGCCACACATCAATGGCTTCTTATGGGCGTCCAAGCCTGCCGTTTGCCAGCCCTTAAACCCTCCAAACCCTCCAAACCCTCCAAGCGCTCCAAACCCTTAAAAACCTTAAAACCCTGACTTGGCAACCCTCCAAACCCTTAAAAACCTTCAATGTGTTCGACTTTGCTTCCGTCCTCAACTTGACGATAACTGTTTCTGCGGCATCGCGGCCGAAGCGATTTTATCAGTGCTTTGGAAAGGGGCCATGGTGAAAGTCACCCTTAGACATCGATGAAAAAAATCGTGAAATATGGATGTGTCTCAAAATAGGGTATATTCCCAATGAAATAACCATTTAATAGGGATAATGATCATTAACCATTGGGTTTAAGGGTACACTATTTTCAGACACACCCATATTGGTGTGTTTCCACCCAAAAAAATGATGAAAAATGAATCAAATGAATCAAACGTTGCTCAAGAAACAAACCAAGGCAGATAGTTTTTTGGATTTCAGATGATTGTGCCATTGATATCAGGGATTTCCGTGTCTGTTTATTGAATGTTGTTTTCATGCATACTTTTGGTGCGCCTTTTCCTTGCGAAGACTACGTCTCACGCAAGGGAGGCAAGACACACCATCCCCAAAATATGAAAACAACATTCCATGAACAGCCACGGATATCCCTGATATCAATACATTGCATTCATTGTCCCACAATCTATGTTTACGCTACCTAGACTTTCAAAAACTCTACAATATTTGCACGATTGGTGCGCATGTGGGCCGTTTTGACCTTTCCCCGCCGCTCCGCCCTGAAAAGGGGGTCGGCGGCACCAGGGCGTTAGCCCATTCTATTATGGTGAGAACTAATGGGAGATGATGACCGTAACCGGGTGTGAGTTTACCGGGTCCGGTTGGGGCCTGTGATTTTCTACTAGAAAATGAATATTGTATAAATTAGGGACCCAAGAAAATCTAGCTACAAACATCAAACCAATTCGAGCTACCCTAGAAAAATGGCACCCCCCAAGAAGTGCATTTTCGAAGCTATGGACCGTATTTTTTCTTAGAAAAACATCACCCTGCTTGAATGGTATAATGTTGAAAATCGAAATCAAAATTTTTGAAAACAACTTCCAGATGCGGCAAGTGTTGCAAACTTGGACAGGAGAGAGATGGGATTAGATTTTAAGATATTTTAAGCATGTTTAAACAAAACAAAATGACCTACCAGTGCCCCTCTAGAAAATCAGGGACCACTAGAAAATCTAGGAACGTCCTCCCAGAATGCTAAAATTATGCTCCTGGATTTTGGGCACTTAAGCTACACAGAAAATCAGGGTCTCCCGACTCAGAGGTCTCCAAAAGTTGTTCTGTAGAAAATGAGGGGGTTGATAAAAGCAGCCTTTCATCAAAATCGAAGAATTTTCGCGCCAGAAAATCAGTCCTTCTTAGGGGGGTTGACCTCCCTGAAATCCTAGAGGAAACTCCAACCCCGTTATGACCATAATGGTGATATCATGGGTACATGGAATAAGCTGCGAATAAAATGAATAAACTATGATAAGCTGCACCTACTCCGACAGTGGAACCCTAAGCTGTCAGCAGTGCAAATGCAGCTCGTTGGGCTTCGCAGAGACGGCTGCAGGTGCAAACCGGCACCTCAGGGGAACTCATCGGGTAATAGCAGACAACAATGGTAACATGATGGTAACATGTTTTAAAATGCCAGCCAAATAATAGATAAATGATAGATAAATCATGAATCAGGAGCGTGTGCTTCAAGTTCCCCCAAGGTCTGACAGGACACAGTCATGACACTCAGCAACATGCCTCTGAGATGCCAGATCTCTGAGCGCTAGGGACTCTGCCACAGATTCGGCATCTGGCTGAGGCATATGCACGCACCACCTTAGAGAGCTCAGAATGTCTCAGAATATTCATCCTGATTGATCGATTCACCTGGTAGAGACCTACACTTCGAGATCGAGGGCGAAACATTCCAGTTGGAGGCAACCGGGTGTATCTAAGCGCTGGAGACACGAAGACGATGTGAGGAACGATCCATGAAGCCTGCCCAATGTCACCATTTCACTCCACCGCCGGTGACATTGAAACATATTGAAACATATTGCAAACATATTGCAAACAGACTGAGATCACCCCAAGAACCAAAGAAAACTGTGTTGGATCTGTTTATGCCATCTGTGGGGATGCAGTTCTGTCCTCTGGAGCATTGAGCCGAGGTGTTGCCAGCATTCCTCGAGGGGTCACCTCGTGGCGCTAATCGCTGGAATTTTGAAATGTCCCCACTACGTACTACTTATCAGTGATGCACCAGAATGGCAATAAAAATCATTCAAAATCATTCAAAATCTAGGTCAACCATGGTGAACCCCAAGTGACGGTACTTTCCAACTTGCTGGCCGCCCTATGTGTGAAATCACAATCCAAGGGCTGCAACCTCTGCCACACTGGGGTAGACATCTCGGCCTTGGAATGGATGTTGACTTCCAGCTGGCTGGGGTGAGCAACTTCTATCATTTACAGATCATTACAGCCGAATAAAACTCTGGGCCTAACTGCAAGCAGCATCACTCTCTGGTGAATTTTGAGAGCCCTTTCGGGTCGTGGCTGGCACAAAGCCCAAAGCGGAGAAAGAACATCGAGTTGTCCTACAGTAACCATTCCGATGCCAGCAGCACGAGCACTGTGAATTGCAGCCTGTTCATTCTCAACAACTCCGATTCTCAATGATTCTCAGAGAAGAAGTGTAATGTGGGATTCACACAATCCCCAAGTCATCACCATTCTTATTGGTGGGATTGAAAGCATCCCCAGTCATGGTAGGTTTATGGCAGCCAAGCTTTCCTCGCATCCCAACACAGGTGCTTCCTCCTCCACCTGGGCGACTGACAGGCTTTATGTCATGATGATTCAACCAGGATAACATGGGGTCAACTTCACCATCAACAGGAATTTCACATAATTAACACACATTATTTTAACAACCAAAATTATGATTTACCCCATGCAACAATGGACATAATGGATTTGAGTTGTGTCTGACAATGTGATATGCCCCCCGAAATGACAACTTTTCTGGCAAAATGATGTTTAAGCATCGATGAGAGTAGCCCTTTTTGTTTAAAGAAACCCATCTTGCTGGTGTAGCCTTGACAGGTTTTGCACATTTCACATTTCTTTTAGATTTGTTTTACCTTCGAGAGGCAGCTATTGGAATACATTAGAATACATACTGTTGGCTGCACGTGGCTGTGTCGATTCGACTTGTTGCAAGTTTTTCACAGCATAACTATGCATAACTGTCATAACTTTCAAATCTGTCTCATTGCCGCGATTTAGATGATGTCCTACAGGAAAAAAACACACACACATCTGCACGAGATCCTCATAGGAACCGAGCTGAGCTCGCTGCACAAAGCAGGTCGCGGTTTTTTGTGGGCCATAGCCTGGCGGTTACAAATCACGATGACATTTATATAGGTTTTTAGCATCATGAATCATCTTCAAATGGTTGGTTTACCATGGTTTACCTATTAATATCTATTAATAATGGATGGTTTACCTGTTAATATCTATTCATAATGGATGGTTTACCAGTTTACCTATGAATAAAATCATCTATAAATCATCTATCAATGGGCGATCTTCATCCATTTTCCATAGCTGTGTCAAATAACCAAAGCATAAAAATCATCCAAGTAAATGCGCTACGGCTTCTATGCAAGCTTTGCTAGATTTATCGGTATGCAGCATGCTCTTGCCCACCTTTTTCGGAGCCTTGACGTTGGCATCTTGCTCATGGTGGCCATGGGGCTTGGGGCAGCACCTTCTGAGGCCAGGGACTTTCACCGGGAACTTCACAGCCTTTGTTGAGATCCCAACATCCATAGCCCAGTTCAGCTTCGCGTGCATTCATCTGTGCCAGCAACGTATCCTGGCTTGGAAGGAGTCACCACTTTTGTGCAGTCACCACTGGACATGTGACATGTGCGTAATACCCGCCATCAAACATGGCTAGCTGGGAAATCCCCGTGGCCTAGCCATGCAGGTTTTGATGGGAAAAATCATCTTTCAATGGGTGATTTTCCATCAAGACATGTTTGCCGCTTGCCTTGGGCAATTCACGCGGTCGCCTTGGATGGACTTGGAGAGGGAACATCTACGAAAGTTGGGAACCCTCAAACCCAAGGAATCTCAGAAGCAATGACCTTAGAGATTCTCAGATGGTCGATCAAGTGTGTCCCCCTCTTTCTCTATCTCTGTCTGACCTTCTCCCTATATATATATTATATGTGTGTGTATTGAATATTAATATATGTTTAGTTGTTGGTTTTGCATCAGGTTTTCTGATCAGTATCTTGCTTGGAAACTGACAGGGATGCCGAAAGAGTCTTTGGAAGGATCCTTAAGTACTGCAAATCCCAAATACTGACGGAACATGTTCGCGGATATCTCCCTACAATACGTGTACATAGTACATAATACATAATACATCACTTATCATACATATATGGATATCCACATACATGTTACGTACACATGTTACATATACATGTTACATATACATATACACAGCATATACATGTTACATGTTGCATGTGACTGTGACATGTTACATGTTACATATACATATACATAAATACATATGTATGCCTACCATATAAATATTCCGCCCGGAAAAAGTAAATTTGTATATATATATATTCGTATAATATCTACTAGATTCTACTAGTACCTATCTGTCTGTCTATCCATCAATGTGGTCACCTGGATAGGGTCTCTGCCCAGCGGCAGTTCAGCAGCAAAGAGTCTCAACTCTCCAGCGGCTGCACTGGCACCCAGGCCTATCCAGGAATTGAATGAGCTTATGAACCATCGGTTCTTCAGATTTGGAGGTGTCATGATTGATTCCATGAAAGCCACAATTCCATAGAAGTCCAAGACTTTTTAGTACCACAAGTCGAGCGATATAAGTTATATAAGTCATATAAGTTATATAAGTCATGGGTACCCATGAGTTCCCAGAGTTCTGGACACAGCATGACATAGCCAGCTCCAAGCCTATCACTGATCGCCATTCCAACTCGAGGCGAGCCTACCGAACACGTGATGGAACTGTGGTAGGATAATGTTGATGATTGATGGTTGATGTTGAAGAATAACCATAATAATAATGGATAATACTAATTTGTAATGGTTAATAATTGTTAATAATGGATTACTGGTTGGTGGTGTTAACCATCTTGAAAAATATTAGTCAATGGGAAGGATTATTCCTTATATTATGGACAATAAAAAATGTTTGAAACTTGAAACCACCAACCAGATAATGGTTAACAATGGATTAGTAATGGATAAGATACGAATTTGTTGATTATTACTATGTGATGGTCGATGTTGATGGTTGAAGTTGAAGACCTACAAAGACCACAAGAAGAGAAGAATATAGAAGAGAATTGCTGTGGTTTCAACAAGCATCAAGATCTCATCTTAAAGTCTGAAAGAACAAACATATGAAAAAGTACGAGTAAAATAGTAAGCTCGAGCTTCAACATCCTGGTGGGGTTCCCAGCTGGACCTTCCTTCAACCCAATACTTTTGCAGCGCACCTCCAGCACAAAACCAGGATCTGCAATCTCCTCGCCAGCACAGTCCTCCAATGCCTGTGATCGTTTCTGCTTGGCGGTTGAAAAATCCCAAGACTAGAAGCCGGATATCATTGGATCATCTTCCCAGGTGGGGATGGAAAAACACACACACACACATATATACACACATACACACATACATACATACATAACATTACATAACATTACATAACATTACATAACATTACATAACATAACATAACATTACATAACATTACATAACATTACATAACATTACATAACATTACATAACATTACATAACATTACATAACATTACATAACAACATTTCATAACATTACATAACATTACATAACATTACATAACATTACATAACATTACATAACATTACATAACATTACATAACATTACATAACATTACATAACATTACATAACATTACATAACATTACATAACATTACATTACATAACATTACATAACATTACATAACATTACATAACATTACATAACATTACATACATTACATACATTACATACATTACATACATTACATACATTGCATACATTGCATACATTGCATACATTGCATACATTGCATACATTACATACATTACATACATTACATACATTACATACATTACATACATTACATACATTACATACATACATACATACATACATAACATTACATTACATTACATTACATTACATTACATCACATTACATCACATTACATCACATTACATCACATTACATCACATCACATCACATTACATCACATTACATCACATTACATCACATTACATCACATTACATCACATTACATCACGTTACATCACATTACATCACATTACATCACATTACATCACATTACATCACATTACATCACATTACATCACATTACATCACATTACATCACATTACATCACATTACATTACATCACATTACATCACATTACATCACATTACATCACATTACATCACATTACATAACATTACATAACATTACATAACATTACATAACATTACATAACATTACATAACATTACATAACATTACATAACATTACATAACATTACATAACATTACATAACATTACATAACATTACATAACATAACATTACATAACATTGCATAACATTGCATAACATTGCATAACATTGCATAACATTACATAACATTACATAACATTACATAACATTACATAACATTACATAACATTACATCACATTACATAACATTACATAACATTACATAACATTACATAACATTACATAACATTACATTACATAACATTACATAACATTACATAACATTACAAAACATTACATAACATTACATAACATTACATAACATTACATAACATTACATAACATTGCATAACATTGCATAACATTACATAATATATATATATATATGTATATCTTGATTGAAGGCTTTTTTCTCATCCTCCCAACGTTCACACGTCGCAGACCTCTGCGAGGAGTGAAGTCTCCACACCAGTTTCCAGGACTGGTGGAGCAAGAGTGACGCCAGCCTCACAGGGTCAAGTCGGCAGCCATAACTATCGAACTATGATTGCCTTGTTCAATAGGACCTAGGTGCAAAAGGCCACATGGCTATGGATCATTCTTGGGGCACGCCCCAAAAAATCAGAGGGGTCAAAACTTACAGCTTTCGACCATCGTGGTTCCCCTGATATTTTGACTCAAACCCACATGGCAAAATACCAAAAAAAAAGGCCGGCGGCTTAGCACTTCGCAGCTTCGCACCTTTTGCACCCTGATGCCTCGGCGCCGAGATTCAGGCTGCGAGCGAGCCACTCACCGCTCCAAAACTGCAAGCTATGCCGAGCCGTCCTGGCACGGTGAAACCTGTCGTTGCTTGAGGCAATGCCCCATATTATGGTTATAGATGGTTATAGCATGTTACAATAATGATCAATAATGTAGGTATTGACCCATATATGGGACTGAATGCTATCTTGGTAAACCTGTGCCAAGGGATCTGCGCTCAGAAAACGATGTCCGCATCTTTCTTCTGCAAAATGCTCGGGGCCTCAAACCCCGTGGGTGGTTCCAAACAAAACATGGGAAACAACATCCGGGAACGGGTTCAGCGCTACAGGACGTTTACAGGGGACGAGCGGGTGGATGAGCAGGACATATTGCGGCCAAGCCGCGTCAATAGCTGCCTTGGATGGATACAGAGTGGATTGAATTTCATAATTGTCCTATCCCTGGCTCCATGATTCCATGATGCTATATGGGGATGGCTCAAAACCTTCGATGCCATAGTGATCCATATTGAACATCCGTTCGCATCCATTTACCAAGCATTTTGAGATTCCATGGGTTTGGACAGTTTTGACACATACATCACATACCAACGTGCCAAATCATGGCAGCCGGCAGCTTGGTTTTTCTCAGCCAGCTCCTTCTCCTTGGCCTTAGAGCCAGCCAGCAGGCCAGCAGTATTCCAGTCGATGGTGCAATGGCCCTTGGGCCACCGGGCCAATTTCTGCTTTTTCTTCTCGACAACCTTTTTCACTCGAAAGAATTCCTCTCGTGCCTGGCACCAGTCACCAGTTAGCCATAGTTAGCCACTAGAACAACTTGATCCACTAGTTCCCCGTGCTCAGGATGTGCCTGTGGCACGATCTGTGAGAGAACATCCTGCCTGCTCATCCATCTCCTGTGTGATGTAGTGGATGATGTCCTCAACTGCCCAAATCATCCAAACGCCGTCAGGAAATTTGAAGGAAAGAAATGAAACATGTGGCTCTCATCGATTGCCCTGGCTGCTTTATGGCAATGATATGAATCTTGGTCCTCGATCCTAGGGATCAGAACATACTCGAGGGCATTGACCTTGCCGAAAGTGTGCTGCTCATGACCCATGACAACGCGTATCTCTCTTCAATCCATATCAATTTTATATATTTTATATAGATCCATTTCGTTCGATAATGTTTCCATATGTTCCCCCCATCGTTCGCCTCCATTATGATCCGTTCGCTTCCATGGGATTTCCATATGGGATTTCCCAGCGGGATTTCCAAGCCACTCGCCGGCTGGTCATCTTGATCTCTTCGTCCAATGTATGGAAAGCCGTCTGCAAGGAAGCCAACTGGACGATGCATTCCCTGAACTGAACGACGAATGGATGGAGAAATGCGAATGGGTTTTCTGTGAGAGATCCATTTCCGACACACTGTGACCATTTAAGAAAGAGATGAATCATGGAACCATGATGATTCTAAACAGTGTATCTACATGTATCTACACAGGACAGATCTTTCCCGCCCTTTCTCCAAGGTTTTCAAAGTCAAAGTCAAAGTCAAACTATGGCACTATGGGGACTTGGGACTCTTTGACAAGGCACACTGCTTTCAAGTAGGTCTCCCGAGTCGCGTTCAAGACAGCACCCCCAGACCCAACACCCATAGTGTGTGCCTCGGCAGAACTGGATGGCGGACGTCATGAGACACCGCGGGACACCATGTCGAAGCGGTCAATTCAACAACATGTCAATGTATGTCTCTCTCTACATGTATCATCATGTATCCATGTTATATGAACTTTATGTGATAATGACTATGATGATGAATGCACGGTGCACACACAGAGATAGACATTTAAGATTTAAGAGACTTTAAGAGTAGTCTAGTAGTGTACAGGTGCAAAGCATGTTCAATAGATTTTACACCATTTGACTTAAGCGCTTTGATGTCGCCTTGATTGTAATTGCCTTTCGATTGGATTTTGCTCGCCTAAGGCATATGAAGCCAGAACATTCCACTGATGGAGCGGTGTCATTTGAAGCACCAAAGCCCAAGGTAAGGAAAATTATCTGTGAATTGGGTTCGATGCACCTTCTCACTTCTCTGCCACACAGGGGAGCAGAAAGTTGAGACTGTACACATCTGTAAAGTCTACAAACCACCAAAGAGCCATCCAGGAGCAAGTCGAAAGTTCTTACAAACCAAGTCTTGAAGTGCTTCCAGCAGACCTCCAAACCTGAAGAAAAGATAAGATAAGGCTGCAACTAACTAGACTGCACATTCAATGGATAAGAGAATCGTGGCCCGACTCGTCTTATCTCGTCTTCATTTCTTGGTCGAGCTTCAATGGCTTCGTGGGAACTATTCCGAAGCAGCTTGAACACTGGGATTGACACCTCAAGGGTGCTGCAGACACACATACGCTATGCTGATAGGAACTTTCCGCTGGCCGAGCACAGCTAAGGGCGGAACACCTGCAACGTTATCAGGATACATCTTGGTTGTCACTGAAGGCTTCTTCGCCTTGGTCGGCAGCAACGAATGCATAGCCGCTAGATCCGATAAACAACGACCTTAGGAGCACACCCTCTCAACGATGGAACTGGCAATGTCAGAACCAGAGCTGGCATAGTGAGCTTTCGCCAAGGCAAAGGCACCGTCCTGTGAAACTCTGAAACACAGCCCCGATTTGCTGATCACATTTTAAAATGGGCCCCAGGGCTCATCTTTCATGGAAAGAATCCGGGAGTATAAATTCTGCGGAATCCTTCAGGCTCTCTCCAACCTTCAGCTTGGTATCCACAATGTCCTGCCAGCATCCAGCAACTCCAGCAACTACCCTACTTTCCGTTGCCAGGCATCTGGTTGTTCGACACCACACCTCACTCCTTATGTACCATCTCATAGGGATATATCGAAACACTTGATCCCAGGATGCCACTTTCTGCGGTCCTTGAGCAGCGCCTCAGTTCCATGATGTTCCATGATGAATTTTCCATAATTTTCCCATCCCATTCCCTTTGCAAAACTCCGATTTCAATACTTGGCAAAGGTGCTTGAAACCGAGATTTCAGCGCATCTCGCTTCTTCTTCAGAAGTTTAAATCCTCCCAATTTTCAAACTGACGCGGCTGACGCTGATGCAGCCTCTGCCGAAAAAAATCGCAGATGGGCCGTCCTTTGGATGCTCCTCCCAATCGCGCCTTGAAGGTCCTAGATTTGAAGCTGGAGTACAAAGGCACGTGCAAACGTTTGGTCTTTTTAGTTTTTTTTCCTCAACTCGGCCACACTTCCAACTAACAATTCCATATATAATTCTATAAGTCTATCATACATATGTAATCATATGCATACATTTAGTTAGGGATTTCTCTCCTAACATTGCCCTCAGCTGGATTTCGTCATATTCATCCATATCCTGGCCCATCAAATACTGGGCCAGGATAATAGGTATCTTAGATCTATGGGTTCCAATGATCCAAAATCAACAAGGATTTATCACGTGCCACTTATATCCCTGTATGATGGTTAAAACATGTTAAAACCCCCATATATAAACAATGACAATAATAATATAATAATAACGATAATAAGTGGATAAATCACGTCAAATAACAAATCAACCATTACATACCAGTATGTATATCCCCATAGTCCAATAAAGCTGCCATAACCATCAAGCGACTGATGGCTAAAATGCCCATCAATGTCAACCACAGATTAATAAACCTTGATAAATTACAATCAAAACTGGCACTCCCTCTATAAACTAAGGGTTTATGAATCCTGGGTTGACATTAGAGCAATGGCGCATATAGGGTTTTATTTTATTTTTTTACATTTTTATAAAACTCATATGTCAAGCAATGACCCTAATGAAAAATATAAAACCCATTAAACCCTTTTTTTTCTCAATGGCGCAGCGATGTGCGGTTTGAGGCTCTGCAGTGTCATGCGGTTTGCCGCCGGCCGCTGCCCACCCGCCGACGACATGGCCTGAAGTGAGGGCAGGAAGGGGATGGGGGACAAAGACAATAACGTGCAACAACGTGCATGCATTCATATTTGCATATAAATGCACACACACATATAAAAATCAATATGTATTTATAATTATTTATATATAATTTATTTACCAATTTCTTTACAGTGCATACTGTGCACAATAATGTATGACATCTATTTCTACTATTTCTATATCTCTGTCCGTGTATTACATGCTGGGGTATAGATTATTGATATTGTTGTATACGTCAGTAGTCAGTAGGTTATAGATTCTGTACATTTCTGTATCCATAAGAATCTATGACAGCTGTGGCGTCATCAGGAGCCCACCTTGGACGCCAATGGACCTAGCTGTGGCTCCTAAATGCTGCGCTTTCTATGGTTTTCTCTATGAATCTTTGAACCATTCAACTCTGCGGCAGTCATGTTGTCATCTTCGTGGGATATGGCGATGTAATGAGAGCCTAAAGCTTCTGACTTCGGACCCTGTCACCAACATCACAGATATCACAGGCAGTGTTAGCTACTTGAACTCTGGCCTGGATCTTTGCTTGCGCCTCAACAGTTGCAACTTGCACCAACTTCACATGAGTGATGTGGCTGCAGCATATGATGCGTTTGACCTATGTGGAGATGAGCAGTTGATGTTTCATAGCCGTACCTCCAGGCAGGCCCCACACGCCTCCAGAAAAAAAATATGCAACAATCTCCAGCAAAGTAACTGTTACAGCGAGTTTGTTAGGCATCTGACCCCTGGTGTTCAGTCAGTAAGTGAATAGCAGAGCATGGGGTTCCTTTAGCAATGCTTGAAACGAGCCACAGCATTCGCACCTTGCGTGCTGTTTCCAAGTCTAGTCCAATTTCGCGCCTCATCTCCAGTCGACCGTTGCATGTTAGATGATCCATGATGAATCTAGAGAAATCCCAATTGCCCTGACTCAACACTCAGCACATGACACATATGACACAAAAGCAAATTAACTGAATGCTGCACCCATTTTTTTCCAAGGTGCACAGCGAAATACTCAAACTCCAACGGCGTCAGCACGCCTGAGGCCAGTCTCGAAGCCAATTCAATCACAGTCATCCAGGTCAGGTTTCGGAGGCCTTCCCGTCGGCGAAGCTTTCGAGCCTGGCCCAATGCATCCCACTGCCATAAACCGACCATGACTGCGGATGGTCTATAGGATCCATTTGTGGTGATGACTTGGGGATGGTTTATTGATGTTATTTGATGTTTGTTGTTGGGTTATATATATATTATATGGATATATATGGCGATTTTATGCGATTTTGGGGATGGTTTGTTGTTGGGTTTACCATGGTTCCATGGTTTACCACATGTTTTAACAATCGTTCTGTAGGAATTTTAGAACTTCATCCGAAGATATCCAAGGCAGGCAGGGCAAACGGCTTCCGCGTACACCGTCTTAGGTATGGCTCCTGCACGCTCCGAAACCCCGTGGAAGGCGACAAAAAAAACACTCGAACTAGACTCGAACTGCTGTCCTCCAAGCAGTTTGGCCAACCGCATTCCACGTCCATCATGAGCCTTCCGCACTGAAGAGTATCAGTATTGTTTGGAGGGTGCCCGACAATTTACATACAACTCATTTAATGCAAATGAGGCAGGGGTCTTCCAACCAAACAATCCTGTCTCAACCCGTGAAAAATGCACAGGTCCGCAAGTCACTATCGTTTTCAGCTGGCAAGCTGTCCAATGCTAAGCCTACTATTCAGCTGTCTGTACAGGGTACAGCTCCCTGATGGCTCTCGCTGTGGTCGTCTGTGGGTCCAGCGGGCCATGCATCCAGTGCGTGCACTGAAATAGATGGATTCGGAACAGCCAACCAAACCCAGAAAAGCACGCGCGAGATCAGGCAAAAAGATAGAACTGAATCATGACCGCGGATCACAGCTGGATTTGTCTCAGAATAGGGTCCCCCAAAGTCAAACACTTGTTTATCATCAGATTCCCTTGAAATACAAAAGTTTTTTCGAGTCTACAGTCTACACCATTCTTGTCCATGATTTCCCGCCAAAAATTGCAACTATGTCTAACTATGTATTCAAACAGAGTCAACTACCGCATGTTTCGGACATTTTCGGACAAATCCAGCTCACCATGGTAACCATTTTGCACCCTGGGATGTGCGCGTTTGCTCCAACGCGAAAGACTGATGTAGCTCTGAACACTTACAGACCGCCAAGTCGGGGCTGTGTAAGGCATGGTGCGGCCTCAGCAACAGCAAGAAATTGGTGCTGTGAGAATCTCACACCGAACTGGAAAGCTAAGGAAAGCCAAACAAAAAATCCATGTGAATCATTGAAAATCAATCCCCTCGGAAAAATTGGAAAGCAATCTGAATGCACATTGAGTTTGCTATTCTCCAAGAGTCCTGCAGCTGGCCGATTTTTTCTGCCTTGCGGGCGTCGCCTGTTCTACGCGATCCTGTAATCCTGTATATGGACTACTGCTTTCTGCAGCGGGTAACAGAGAGTTGGCTCCAGCTGTTGGAAATCATTTGAAACCCATGCTGCCACTCCAATGCCTAGGAGGGTTTAGGGCTTTGGTGCCATGTGACACCCAAGCAAGCCTCGTCCGGACCATTGCTGTGGCACTAGTTCAAGCTCAGCTCGTACAGGCGGCTCACCACCTCAACTTCCAGCAATTCTGATCATCTGACTGCCACAGCGCCAAACAACGCCAATCATCATCTAAATATATGGCAGTGTGTCAAAACCTTGTACCCCTGGTGAACATCAAAATAGCTGGTAAATGGATGTTCATTCCCCTAAAAATGGTATTAATAGGTATTGATCCATAGCCAAATATATCTAAATCATCTTCCCAGTTCTGTCGCTCATGGATTGTCAACTGAGCCCAACACGAAGCACTAGCACTTTGATTGGCGTGCCAACGCTCTGAGGTACCAGTTCACGAATGGCATTGAAGCACGCATTCAAGTCGCCAGTGTCCTACATGTGATAGAAAGTGCATAAAGCCACCACCAACATCCCGGTGCCGATTTCAGCACGTGTGTGAATGCGGCACACAATACGTGCATCTAATCTAATGCGGCATGTATGCATGTGTGGATCTTGCCATAGCCACTGCTCTAGTGACTCTAGTGACTCTAGTACCTTCAGAGCAGGATGTTGTCATATGTCCCCCCTTCTACCTCCATTATATCTCCAATGATATTCCCATGATATTCGCACATATTCCCACTATCTCCCCATGATATCCCCTTGGTTACATCCCCATCCTCCCATATCCTCCCTGGCGCCGCCCGTGGCATCGTCGTCCTGCATCGACACAGCTCCGAATCGGCACACTTGATCACCCACTCTGAGGCCAGCCGCTGCAGCAGGAGACGCCTCACTGACTTCATCAATGGTTGCCTTGGCCGCTGAGCCATTTGAGCCATTTTGTCCGTCAAAGCTGATCAGCAAAGCATCAACCAATAACCGCAACCAACAAATATCCATAATCCAACAAGAAATTGTCCTGGAAACCAAAAAAGACTGATATACTATAACATGTCTGATAAGATCCGATAATATAACATCTGATGATCAAACCAATACGGAATAAAAATACTCCGTGCAAAGAAACGAAGGGAGTGGTTAGTTTCACCTGCAGGAAAACGTTGTCGCTGTCGTTTTCTGGGAGATCCTCTTCCATTTTGGCTGCGGGCCGTTCTCGTGGCACGTCCACCTTTGCGCTTGCATGGATGGCTGCGATTGCCTGACACGATACACGTCAAGCATGGAGCTCAAGTGATGGGACATGCAAAGCCAACCTGATTTTTTCACATCTTTTCTAGGGGATTGTCATGGATTGTCTATTGGAAGATCTGGGAACATAACTCAAGTTACAAGCTGCTGCAGTGTGGCCTGTTCGATCTTCTTCATGACCTCGATGTGATCTGTCTGTGCGCAGACATATTTGTTTCTGGCCTGCCGCACGGCATAGAGGTCGATGTCTCCCCTGGGGAAGCCTTCATCATCAACCAAAGGGCCAGAAACGCCAGGCATACCTTAGAGGGGTGGATGGTCACAAAGCTCGTGTCCCCATTTCAGACTGGTCATATCTGGTCATATCTTGTTATATTCTCGACCTGCTGCGCTCACAGATTTGTAGGTTGAGAATGGTTGAGAAGCTTCCCGAAACTCTGCCAAGCATCCATCTTCAGTCAAATACTCATAAAGGGTCTTGATTTCACCTTCTAATCTGTTCTTCTCCTGCTCGAGCTTCCGAAACTCTTCCACAGCTGCTGGGTCCATGGCTAACTGCACAATAGCCTTTTCACCGGAACCTTTTCCAGGCACTGCTACAACGTGTTACAACAGTATAAAAGATGTATAAAACATGTGAAAGTAGCCTGAAGGTATGAGAACTAACAAGGGGTACAAATATTGAGCCATTGGCTTTCTCCTTGCTGCAAGACCTCTCCACGAGAAAGCACGAAGCTAAAACCCAAAAGCTGAAGCCAAGATGACGTGTGAGATACACATATTATATATATGTGATATTCCATGTGTATACATATATATATATTTATTTATAGATACTATATACTCACTGGTTGGTGGTTTTAACCATCTTGAAAAATATGAGTTCGTCAATGGGAAGGATGACATCCCATATATGAAATGGAGAATAAAAGTCACGTTCCAAACCACCAACCAGCGTCAACGGCAACACTTGGGGTTGGCATTTTGCATCTCGCTATCGTGCAGGTCCGGGCCGGGCCGGTTGGAGGTAGCCGGTGGAGCGTTCAAAAACGGAGCACCTTTCTGGTGGTCGAAATTGGATCAGTCAACATGTCTTTCAAGCCATATTTTTTTAAATAGATTCTATATAATAGGTTTTCAATTGTTTTTAGTTTGGGATTTGTTTCTCTATGTATAGGCTTATAGCGCGTTTTCGAACATTTGGAATGTGATAGATTGATATGGATCGGTCTAGTCTTGCCCACAGGTTTTGAGGACCACCTTGGAAACTGCTGCTCGCTGCAAAATGCGAAGAATGAATTGCTCTGAGCACATAGCACTTCAGAGTGGCCCACATTGCTCACATCGTGTTCAAGATAGATCAAGATAGATCAAGCACATTTTGCTCGAACACTCCTTCACCATCTGAGAGACTTGGCAGGGGTTCACTGCTCCTTCTCTCTCTCCTTTCCTTCTTTTTGGCAAATCTTCGATTGTCTTCTTCCGTGAGCCAAATGCTCTGTCCAGACCCAGGCCGGAAATAGCAGACATGGAGCTGCTCCGTAGGGACGTGCGCTTCAGGATGCCTTGTCCACACCAGCAGAACCAGCCGAAAGCCCCATTTCACGCCAGTCACAGCATGAATGCTTCTCTGGCAGCCGCAGAATGCCATGCCTCAAACCAAAAAAAAACAAGATCATGATGACATCCGGTGGAAAAAACGCATAGAACCTGGCAACATAGGATAAAACGATAAGCGTGGATAAGCCAGGTACCAAATCCAGCCGGCAGCCGCATTGAAGTCACAGGCGTCTTGGAACCTGGCTCTGACTGGATCCAATTGAAAGACTGAAAAAATGATCCTTTGGTAATGCTCTCCCCCGGATTAATAGCCCCCCAGCTCATGGGGTGCCAAATTTCATCAGCTGGTTTATTAATTCGTGGTTTACAGAGCATCCCAAATCCCGAGCACAATGATCAACGTGCTTAAGGCAAAGAAGTCACTTCGGCAAAGTTGGGGTGGTTTCGATAAAATTTCAACAAAGTACCATCTGTACCCTCTTTTTCTTTGGATCATTAACTCGATCTACTTCTATCATCTTCTACCCTCTATTAACATAGCTATTGAACATGGCAATTTATAGTAGATTTACCCATTGAAAGTGGTGATTTTCCATAGTTATGTTAGTTTACCGAAGGGTATCTACTTCTCCGGCGACAAACATGGAGGTGCCACCCCATGTATCGAAGAATTCAAGCTCCCCACCACCATATTCCTGTGGATCTGTCAGAGCGATGGAAGCGCTGTAATTCCTGCAAGGCTTCAAGACTTCATCAACAAAAATCTCAGTCCTCTAAGTCCTCTATAGTCCTTTCTTCCTACATATTGTTTGTGAATAATTGTTAATAATATTGATAACTGGAACTATATATCCTACATATTAATATTACGGGCAAACACCTCGATTTGCCCGCGCTTGTCGGCGGCCATCTTCGTATGTGCTGAAAACGTGGTAAAAATTGGAGTTTTTTGCATCATGGCTAACTTCATGTTGTATATCGGCACGCACAGCATAGGGACCTGTGCGAGACTCTTGCACATCATCATCATCATCATCATCATCATCATCATCATCATCATTAAACCCTTATTGAAGATCTTCAACGAATGTAGAAGTTTAACGGGGGTGGGAGAATTAAACCCTTATTGAAGATATGATCTTCAATGAATGTAGAAGTTTAACCGGGGGTGGGAGAATTAAACCCTTATTGAAGATCTTCAATGAATGTAGAAGTTTAACGAGGGTGGGAGAATTAAACCCTTATTGAAGATCTTCAATAAATGTAGAAGTTTTAACGGGGGTGGTAGAATTAAACCCTTATTGAAGATCTTCAATGAATGTAGAAGTTTGACGGGGGTGGGAGAATTAAACCCATATTGAAGATCTTCAATGAATGTAGAAATTTAACGGGGGTGGGAAATTTATATTCCCTAAATACCCTTGTTGATCTTCCCAGTTGAATTTAAAGTCTAACGTTTGATATCCCCAAGTGTACAGCATAGAAGGGGTGTGGGCGAATCGGGGTGTTTGCGCGTAATATTACTAATATATACTGTATAGTTAATATTGTAGTCATATTGTTAATAATTCAATGGTTTAGGATACTTCAGGCCCTCGCTTCCTGTAGCTTGTGGTCTTGGCAGCTTTCCAAATAACTTCAGCCCCAGCGCGTGCTGCTTCAACTTCATCTCGCTGCTTGATCTGATGCCCATCCCACCAAACCGAGTCAAACTGCACGTTGTCAGCATGGGGCGGGTGCCCATACCTGTTTGTACTGTTAACGGCAGCTTGGTCTAGGAGAAGTGGTTGATTGAACTGCACCGTCATTGCCTCGGAGTGGCCCCCAGATTTCTGGAGATCTTCAATAGGAACCAGGGACCCTGCGGCTTTGTGCAGCTGAATTACATCCACCACTTTTTGCGAAATCAACTTGAAAGAATCGAAGTCTTCCTCCGAGAAGATCCTCCAACGCTGCGTGGAACGGGTTGTCACATCGTGTGGCCCAACACCCATGATACATATACTTGATTTTTATATACTTAGTCTTAGTCGAATGTTAATGAATGTTATTACAATGTGTACATATATTACATATTCATATACGTAAGTGTTTTGATGCTCGGGCCATCTCCAGGTTTTGGGCCATGGCGGCCATGTCAAGTTTCGAGCGCCGAGCTGCGGTTTCTTTTTGTAGCGCGGCTGGCTCAAGTCATCCCGATGCCTCTCCCAAATAGCATGCAATCTCCTGGCGCAACGAACTGAAAAAGAAGCCGCACTTGGGGGTGCAATTCCGGTATAAAAAATATATAGATAGATATATATATATATATATTTATTTATTTATTTGTTTATTTATTTATACATATTTTACAATCAATTATAATACTCTTATCGTCATTTAATAATATTCATATTTAATATATGGCTGCTTTGCGCAAATGCATATTTAAAAACACAAAAAGAATGTTTTGTTTTAACATGATCGGCTCCGGTGCTCTTAGTTGGTGTCCACATCGTGGTCCGGCATAGTAATTTTCTTCCCTGCCATAGGTTGGGATGTAACCCCTACAATTATGGTTAAGTTATATTACATATCCAAGTAGCATGCAGCAAGATTCGCTATTGAAACTGTACAACAACTATTAATAACTATCATTGAATACAACTAGTACTCTGAATCAGTAAGTTGAAGACGTTGCACTTTGGACGCAGCGTGGCGCATGGCGCATGCGTTTTGTTCATGCCCTGTGAAGCCCTGCGATGCCCTGTACAACATCAACCAGGCCTGTCCTAATGTCGTCTTCGGAAAGGATGGACGGCAGTTCATGTCGACCATGTGGTCCGCAGAGTACCGCTGGTTGCTGCGGCTGCGGGGGATTCCTTTTTTTCAGGTGCCGGGCAAAGAGAAGCCACCAGCGCAGCTACCAAACTTTTGGGGAAAAAAAAAGAGGTAACTTTGGTGAAAGACTGACAGATTATGACAGATTAGGATTAGGCTTCCCAATTTCGCGGCAGAAATGTTCGGAACAGGCTCGGATTAGAACCCCATCTGCCCAATGAGGGCTGCCCAATTTGCCAAGGATGTCCAAGGATCAGGGCTGCATCTTTGGTGATGCCTATCTCCACTGGAAAGTTTGGACTCTCTGGGCTACGGGGTGAGGTGTCCGCACTGGTACTCGGTGTGGACTTGAAGGACTTGGACGTCATCTGCCGGAGACAGTCCTCGGAACCGCGTGAAATTCACTGAGCAGTTTCACACATATCACGAATCTATACTCCAGTCTCAGCTGCAGGTGTACCATTCACTACCAGTTGATTTACCAAGACTCTTTCCAGGATATTCTGCCTCTCTCGTTTCGACATTCTGCACAGTTACATGAGTCCTCTGAGTCCGCATCTTTAGGCTCCCAGAATGACTCACGCTGCCCTCGTCGTGCAAGGCCACGTCGGATTTCCGCAGTGTGTAACCAGCAGCCATTGCCTGTGCCAGGTCGGAAGTAGCAAACCTGGTCTTGTCCCTCTGGAACTGGAACACCAGGAGGTCGGGTCCAAACTAAAAGAACCAGCCGGAATCCCCTTTTCACTCCAGTGACTGCATGGATATTCCGGTGGCATCCACAAAAAGCGATGCCGCATCCGGCAGCGCATTTATAGCTTGCAACAGGGCGTCGAGATCCCCATTTCTCGAAGAATTGCACCTCACCTCCTTCGTAACCTCTGTGGATCCAGGATTCCAAGGCAGGAGATGTCTGGAGATATGTGGAGTTACAGTGTGTAGTAAAAATGTTGGAAAACTCATACGAACCTGCAGCCATTGCTTTTGTCTGGTCACTGGGTATTGAACAGCGAACGGGCAGAATTGCATTGTCGGAACATGTTTTCCAAGCATTCCCCGAAGTCAGACCTGATAGCAATCTTTTGTGGTTGTACATCTTTTCCACTGCCAAGGGGTGCCAAGGAGCCATTCGGGTCGGAAAGAGCAACTGAACAACTATAACTTCTGTAGGACGTCTTGTCTTCTCTCCAGAGAACATAAGCTCCATTGCGGGCCGCTGCAAGTTCGTCCACAGTGACACGTTTGCCATTCCTCCATACAGAATCAAAGCGGAGATTGTCCTCAGCTAGCATCCTGATGCACTTGAATATACCGTTCTAAGACAGTTTTATTTAAATGTATTTATATGTATTTATAATATATATATATATATGTGTGTGTGTGTGTAATAGCTCCTCAGATGCAGACTCTAGGGTGCGAACAGCCAAACATTTTCAACAAAAGACACGCCGAGTGTCAGCATGTGGTGGATGACCATGGTGATTTGTGTTGCTTACAGTAGCCTGATCCAGAACCATCGGCACTTGATATTCATCCACCATGGCGTCAACAACTTTCTGGGCGATGGCGTAGAAGGTATCAAAATCCTTCAGTTCAGCACTTCAGGGATGAATGGGTTCGTCTGGACATAAGGCACCACTATCATCATCTTTTCGAGTAGAACTGTCATCACTTTGGGGGTATAACATGGTATGACCATGGTATAACCATGGTATAACCATGGTATAACCATGGTATAACCATGGTATAACAATTTTCAAGCAAAACCACCAACAGATCAAGGACGCCTTTGAAAATGGGGTTGGCACTTTGTTCTTGGCGACGCGGGAAGGTAAAGTTTCATTGGAAGGTCTGTAAACTCTATCCGTTGCATCACCAGCTGGAAAACATCTATTAATATATATATATATATATATGTATATCCGCGTTTCTGTGGTACTGCAAACGAAAACGGGAGGACATATTAAGTCATATTTCATCATTGACACTCATCAATGGGTGAAGAGAATATCTACAGGAAAACGCGCTTTTACCATCCAAACGCGGAGGATTCCTTTTGGGTTTCCCTTCATCCAATTCACATATGTCTGATTAATTCTGATTGCATGCGCTACACACAAATATCTCCCGTCATCGAATTCTGGTGTGCATCGTTGACGCTTTGCACTCGCGAGGATGTACACTCTCATGTGCGTGACTGACAGGCCGATCCTGCAACACCTCTTCATATGAGTCAAGGCATCTTAGTTGACTACTTTCCGGTAATTCAACATAGCTATGGGAAATAGCTCATTTATTATCATTTATGATTTATATACCTATTGAAAAATTATGGTGATGTGCAACATTTTGCAATAGCATGCAATAGCTATGTTATGTCAAATTACCAGAGGGTAGTTCACATGCGGGGTCTCCCAAATCACTCGTATCTAGCACATTTGGTCCCAGAATTTGGTTATCCTACACAGCTTCGTTTGCCACTCTGGCGTTGGTACAGGAATATCAGGAATGTAGCACCCAAGCGAGAGGCAAATCGTGAGGTCTTACTCCAGGCATAACATGGCACAACCCCCCCATATCCTATCACTCCCTACATCTCCTTACCACAGCAACTCTAAATCTGGTGATTCTCTACACTCCCTGGACCCCTTCATGGCCCAAAGTTTGTCGGGAGCTCCTCTGGCAAGAAAGTGGGCTTCTCGTCGTACTGAGGGCAGGAAAGGTCATCGTGATACCTAGACCAAATGTCGTGAAGCTGCTCTATGTCCTTGGTAAAGCTCAACTGGATACCTCTGGGCCACTTGCAAGAACGAGAATTTACCTGCAAAACAAATGGATTGACCTCATGACTCATAAGTCATAAGCCTTTATAGTTCTTTTACATATTTTTACATGCTTTTTGCATACTTTCATATACTTTCACCCATTTTGATGCATCAATTCACCAAATTTCACCACCAAGCATCGTCCTGCGCAAGGATGCACAGTTGGGAACGATGATGAGGTCCACAACGAACGAAACTCTGCAAATATGGGCATTGAGTGAAGTCACTCCTAGGAAAGTTGCTGTGAAAATCTGTGAAACATCGTGATGATTGATGCTGGCTTCCACGTTTGGTCGATTGACAGCCCCTGTCTTCCAAGCATCTCTATGGGTATTCTGCCTCCAGCAGTGCATGGAATCCTGGGCGGTTTCGCACCATCTGACAGAAATCCCCCCTCTCTCAAAAGTTTAGGCAACTGACGGCGTGGAAGCTCCCAAGTCCACACAACCTCAGGGCAATGAACTTCGAACGTTCAGCGATCCCGGATGGTCGCATCCCAGCACCAATTCAAGCAATAGATCTACTGTAGATCTGACAAAGTGGCAAACCAAAATATGTGCTGCGTTTTTTTAATTCAAATGATTGATATCTTGATATACCATCTGGTGATTTAACATAGCCATGGAAAATCACCATTTTTCAATAGGTAAGCCATCTATAAATGGGCCATCTCCCATGGCTATGTCAAATAACCAGAGGGTAATTGAGTGTTTCTTACCTACACCATCCTACATTGGATCTGGAGCCCCACCGCAGCTGAGCCGATCACCTTCGCTTTCTGTGGGCTCTATGGGTCGTTTCGCAGCTTCACCACGCTTCTCCTGCCATAAACCATGACTGGGGATGGTTTATGGCAGGTGAATCCACGCTACTGCCTACATCTGCCTACTCAACCAAGTCTTATTTAATGACTCTTGGTGCTTCACTGACCCAACGCTCCTCTTTGGAATCAAGTGCAGGACTTACCTGTCGAGCACAGTGGCTTTGCCCCGGTCGTGAGTTTCTGTGTGTTTACCTTCAGGTAAACTCACATAGCTATGGAAAATCACTTATAAAAGCAAAATCAACTACAAATGGGGTCATTTTCAACTTGTTCAATAGCAAACTATTCAATTAGCGTTTTTTGTTTTGATCCAGTGTCACGACCGCCACAAGGGATGGGCCTCCAGAGATAAGCCCGGAGGGAATAGGCCCGGCGGCCTAGAGTTGTGGAAACGTTGGCCTCCAATCTGTCCAACATCTGCCAAATTAGTGAATACTTAGTTGATTTTCTATGGAATTTATATGGATTTTCTTGGTTTCCAGGTGGTGAGCTATCCTGATCCAAACAGGGTTTCACGATTTTCAAGGCAGCACCACCTGATTGGGCTGCATACACATGCATGGACTTAGGATCATGCTAAAGCATACAAAAGCAATATGCGTGCAGACAAGTAGCGCTGACAACCGACTTGTGTTGCCTGCAGGAGCTTGTGCAAACCATAAGCAACTAACTTGGTAAATGCACCACACCGATTGACAAGGCACCAAGGGTTGAACAAAAAAACAGCGCAAACCGACACTGAGATAATGTATGATACTTGTAATGTGGTAAACCCGAGAATAAACCATCCCCAATATGAGCAGAAAAGGGAATCCAACCGTTTCCAAGCATCAAGCGATCATGCTAAGCATTGGAGATTTATGACACGGGGATGGCATGGGGTGAATCCCACACTCCATTTGGGGGGTTCCAAAGTCAAGGGGGTACCCCCAGTTCTCATCCACCTCCATCGTGTCCTGCTCGGCCCTTGTAACCGTTGTGACCGTGGTGACCGTTGCGACTTGGCTTCTTTGAAGCGTCCTTAGTTCCACATCCACTGTCCAAACCTGTTATAAACGCAGGATTGACGGGTGATAAGCTGATAATCTGGTGATAATTTGATGATTGAGGTGTTTTCTCATCAGGCTGAATGATCACTCTCCTGCACCCAAAGGCTCCATGGTGTTGGGTCAGGCCGGTCAGGCCCCCGAGACTCTGAACCAACAGGGTCAGCGTGGCCAGGTGCATGGTCACTATGAATAAAGTTGGAACTAGAAACTTTTGAAATGACCTTCCGGCAATCAAAACATGGCTGGAAACTCCATCATTGAAATTATATTATATGGGTATGGGTCAATACCTATAGATACATTTTTAGTGGGATGAACATCCATAAATCCCAGCTATTTTGGGGTTCACTAGGTACCAGGGTTTTGACCCATCCCCATATTCTCAATTATGTCAATAGATGATTTCCAGGTGAAAGATCTGAACGTCTCGCTTGGCCCAGGACTTCATGAAGCGCATTTCGTAGTGCTGACTACTTCTCCAACCACCACTGCCACCAGCTGGAATCACCACCTGAGGAAAACCCCTCAGGTTTCATGTCGGAAAATAAGGATTTGAAAGGACAAACCTCGAGAATGGCACCAATGCAGTGCCAATGCACCATGACCACACACACAAATTTGTTATTATTATTCATAATTATTATTCTTAATAATCATTATGTTGTATATCTATTTATATATATATACACACGTATATACACATATCCCGCCACATGTTTTAAGATGTTTTAAGTATTTTAAATATTTTAAGTGCATACGGGGGTAAAAGGATCACTTCAGAACACCATGTCAGCCATCACTTCAGAACACAGGCCCAAAAACGGGGCATCATGACTATGGGGCATCATGGCATCATAGCACTTTGGGAGGTCACGCGTTCTAATGCGATGTGTGTACCAAAAAAGGCGCTATTCAGGGACTGTTTCCTCACATCCTGCTTTCAACTGTAATGGCTCTTACTGGTCTCTTGCCTTGGAAGTCCTTATGCTCAACTAGCCATTTAGGGTTTAATTGGGGGAGAGGGGTGTGATGTTGATGAAGTTGATGATGTTGATGATGATGATGATGATGGATGATGATGGATGATGATGGATGATGATGGATGATGATGGATGATGATGGATGATGATGGATGATGGATGATGGATGATGATGATGATGATGATGATGATGATGATGATGATGATGATGATGATGATGATGCTGATGATAATGCTGATGATGATGATGCTGATGATGCTGATGATGATGATGATGATGATGGATGATGATGGATGATGATGGATGATGACGGATGATGATGGATGATGATGGATGATGATGGATGATGATGGATGATGATGATGGATGATGATGATGATGATGATGATGATGATGATGATGATGATGATGATGATGATGATGATGATGATGATGATGATGATGATGCTGATGCTGATGATGATGGATGATGGATGACGATGGATGACGATGGATGACGATGGATGACGATGGATGAGGATGGATGAGGATGGATGAGGATGAGGATGAGGATGATGATGATGATGATGATGGTGATGATGGTGATGTTGATAAATGGCTGATGTTGATAAATGGCTGATGTTGATAAATTGTTGATGTTGATAAATGGCTGATGTTGATAAATGGTTGATGTTGATAAATGGCTGATGTTGATAAATGATTTATGGTTGATGTTGATAAATGGCTGATGTTGATAAATGGCTGATGTTGATGATGCATGTGATGTACAGTAGATGAAGCTGATATAGATGATGTAGAGGATGTAAAGGATATAGAAAAGGTGTACGAGATGCAGTGCTGCATGCAATGTAGATGAAGTTGATGTAGATCATCTAGCTGACTGAGGATCATCTTCCGCGTTCTAAAGCGATGCTTTTCTGTGCTTTCTAAAGCGATGGTTTTCTGCGCGTTCTAAAGCGAGGGCCTTACCGTATACGGGACTCGCGTATCATCGCGACTATTGTCATAGTAGAATTTTATTTATCAATACAAACCGTATATATCCGTATATATGTATCTGTATGTGTGTGTAATGTATTGTAATTTGATGTGGTGTGATGTGGTGTGATGTGATGTGATGTGATGTATGTATTGATTTATCTGTCTTATTCATTACTGAACATAAATATCTACTATGAATATTAACTATATACATATATCATATATACATTGATACATGTTTCAAATCATGATTCTATATGCATCCCCACCTGCAGGATTTGAGCTTGTCCAGGCGCCAGCCAGTCTTCGGTGTGCCCACTGCCCCTGGGAACAGAAACCCACCCGAAACATCACAGATAGAAAGCCAGAAATTGTGGATTTAGGGCTACCAAGAAATGGATGGCTTACAATTCGTAATTGAAAATCCTACTAGATGGATTAAATGGACTTAACATGGATTTAAATGGATGATTTGGGGGTACCCCTATTTTAGGAAACCACCATTTAAGCATGAAACGATAGTTTGTACAGTTCAGAATGGATAGCATTCTATGGGCCATCTCTGGGCGCTCTATGTCTCAGCGCCCGCCTGGAAAAATGCAATCTGCATGCCTCAAACTGCTGAAAGTCAAGCTTCACCTCGGGGAACCGGTCGGGAAAAGCGGTGCTCGGCAGATTGGGACGTCGGAAAATTGCAGAAAAATGGTTGACGCGCCTGGAAGAAGCCCCTGCCACGATTTTCAGCCTTGAGTGAAACAGGCTGGTTTCAACCAAAGTCCTCACATTGAATTTCTGGACTCAAAAGGAGCAACATGGAGAAGCCTAAGGTCAGCACCATGCAAACAACCATGCCACCATGGCTCTTCGCCATGTACACCCTCAGTTTTGCACAAAGATCAATGGCACAATCCATCTCCAAAAGGGTGGTTTCTTATTGGCTTTACAATATGGGGTGTTCCATAGGTGTACCCCAAAATTCATGGTTTAAAATGGAAAAACCTATATATTAAAATGGATGATGTATATAAGTTATAAGGGTACCACCATTTCAGGAAACCTCCATGTAACAAATATACAACAAAATACAACAAAGCACGGTTCTGACAGTGCCACGATCTGCTGAGCCGTCTGCTTGGCACCATGGAAGTCGTCAGGTGCTTTTGAGTTTGACCTATGGACAAAGAATGAGTTGGCAAAATCCCATGGTTTGAGATAAACCCAAACTGGAAATAGCTACCTCTACACGACTCTACCCACTATCCTTGCCTGATGAAGGCTGCCCAAGCAGCAAGCACAGCCTTTGTGTTGAAGCGGGAAGGATCATGTGCACTGGGGTCCGTGTTTTTTGCAACCTGGCAATGGAAAATCCATGAAAATCCCCCATCGAAATCTCCATTTACACCATTTACAAATTCTTTTTCACATGCTTTAACCGTCGAGCTTCGGATTGCCCCTTGCCGGCAGTTTCTGGGTGATAAAACGAGGACACGTCTTGGACGGCTGCGACCAAGCTGCCGAATCTGAAAAGCTGTGCTCCTGGATCTGCACAGTTTTTCGGCTGAAGCAAGAGAAGACCTGCAAAACATTGCACCACACTGCTGGAACCCAAATTCTCCTGTAAGTGGATCAAGATGGCCGTGATATGCCATGAGTACATCATTTTCTGCACGAGCGGCATAATTACAGGACATTAACTTTTTGCACCAGCAAATTTATTCCATCTTCTTCCATGTCCTTCCGAATTGTCGCTTTCCTGAGGAAGGAACTGCAGGTACCTCAGGACCTTCCAGTAAGCTGAGTGGTAGGAGAAAGTACGAGAGACCTCGACGGCACGGAGCGCCGCTGGGCCTTTGAAGACCATCAAATCCCTTCAACTGCCAGTGTGGCACAATGAGATATCTGAACATATATGGTATAATTAAAATGAAGAATTACTAACCACTTCTGGACGTTGCATGGTTCACAAATGAAATAGCATGTTGGAAAATAGATGAAGCATTAACATGATAAAACAAAATAAAAGCTTGCAAACTCTGCCTGGCTTCAACCAGCAGTCCGCTGACACGACTGCACGGCAGCGTGGGTGCCCCACCTATGAGATTCAGATAGCGCAAATCGAGAGAGCTAACATGAAAGAGCCATATTAGATCCACAAGAGGTGTTGTCGTTGGTGGTGTCCCATTGCAATTTTTGGTGGTAAACCCACTGGATTTACCCCAAGCCCAACCCACATTAGTTGACTTGAGCAGTCTCAAAACCATCAAAACGTCTCCCAACGGATTGTGATAATCGCCGATATATTGGTTAGCAAAAGTTCCCCATATAAGCATCAACGGAGGTTTTGAACGCTGCCCGTGGGAACAACATCCACGTCTGGGGTGCGCTGCTGTCGTTGCTGTGAGCGACTTCCGCTGGCTATCGTCAACGCAAACCTGTGCCCGGCAGCATGAGTTGCATCAGCATTCATGGCTGGTTAACGGGGATGGGGATGCTAAGAATCATACAAAGATAAATGGCCTAAGAATCATACATAAACAATCATTGAAATCGAATGGATGTATATATGATATATGTATACATTTGTATTCTAGTATTTATATAATTATATTATATTCTAAATATAAATATATATATATTATACATTTGTATGTGTGATATTTGTAGAAAATATCAACTTAATAAATGGAAATCAATGGGAGCACGCCCTAACGACTATTAAGCCACCTCACCACTTGGGTCTGAGGCAATGACCAAAACAAAGCCTGCAGCAGCAATCGAGCCCAAGTT